GACAGTGCAGCTCTGATTGATAGACATGTGTGCTCTTTGTTACAGCTGTGAAGCCTCCCACCCCACCTTCTGTCCAGCCAGGAGAGGACCAGAAAGCAAATAACATAGTGACCATCACAGGTATCTCCCTGTGCTTGTTCATCATCTTTGCCACTGTTCTCATCACCCTCTGGAGGAAGCTCTGCAGAGCTCAGAAGTGCAGCACTGCCGTGCGCCGAAACTCTGTCCATTCCCCTGGCTTCCGGAAGAACTCTGACGAGGAGAACATCTGTCAAGGCAACAAGCAGCGGGACAGCTTCGCTGAAGGAGGGGATGCCCCTGTTAACATTCCTCTGACCTACAGGCGAAGCCTCCAGTTTGCCCAAGAAGATGATGCCTCTGGAAGTGAGAACTTCCAGCCAAATGCCCAAAAAATTATCCCTCCTATCTTCAGCTACCGCTTGGCACAGCAGCAGCTGAAAGAGATGAAGAAGAAGGGCCTGACTGAGACCACCAAGGTGTACCATGTCTCTCAGAATCCCCTCACAGACACGGTTGTTGGTGCCACCACGGTGCTTCCGCTGAGCGGAGAAAACCAAGAGGAGGCAGCAGCAAACAAATTTAGGATCAAATCTCCGTTTCTGGAACAGCCAGCCAGTCAGCCCAAATTCCTGGGGGAAGGCTCTCACCCTAGGCTGGATTTTCCATTCTCACAGGCCAATGCTGCAATGAGCCCTACCCACACCTTGGTAAGAAGAGCTCATTTCAAGCACCAGGATAACAGAGGGGACTTGCTGGAGAGGGGTTGCCACAGAAACCCGCAGTTCAGAAGAACAGCCAGTTTCCATGAGACTAAAAAGGCCAGGCCTTTCAGAGAGAGAAGCATGTCCACCCTCACCCCCCGGCAGACTCCTCTCTACAACTCCAGGACCAGGACATGGGACCAGGGCTTGGAGGACAGGATACGGCCAAAATCGAGGAACACTAATCCAACTGGTGAAAAGCTGGATCAGCCCCACAGCGCTGTGCCAGGATGTGAACTGCAGGGCCATGGGACAAAGTGCCACCACAGGGCAGGGCCCCTGGTGAAGAAACTGGACTTGGTCACTGACCACCAGCCTGCTGGTCAGGAGAAGGCAGCTGATAAGCCTGAACCCAGTCGAAGCAAACGGGGCCCTTCACCTAACCCCAGAGGCACATGGCAGAAGGAAACAGGCTCAGCTGGCAAGGATAATTCCCAGAGAGTCCCAGGTGTAAGCCCTGCCCAGTACCGAAGGGACAAGTGCCAGAGCTTCCCCTTGGATCCTGAGTTTGCCTTTTATGATAATACTACTTTTGGCTTAACGGAGGCAGAGCAGCAGATGATCGACCTCCCTGGGTATTTTGGCTCCAATGAAGAGGATGAAACAAGTACTTTAAGCATCGAGAAGCTGGTGATCTGAGAGACTCACTGTGGCCCTGCAGGAGGGGCATGAGGGAGAGAGGATCTGCAGGATCTGTTGGCTTGTGGTGGAAGGAGCAGGTGGAAGGAGCAGTGGGAATTGTGTTACTCCCACGCAGAGCAGGAAGGAATAATGCCCCAAGTCTGGCTTGTGGGAATACATTCCTTTCTAATTACTGGAAAGTGCTTCCATATCATTTTTTTGTATGTATGTGTGTACAGTTCACACAAAATACCCCGGGAAAGCACGTGTTAGTGGAGGCATGACACAGAAATAGCCAATAGTTTTTATTGCATAAAGCAGTCATGTTTTGTGCATCATATGTGATGGATGCCACTGATCTGGCCTTTCTCACCTTGTGGACCATGTACTAGTAGATAATAATGCCCTAAAGCATCCATTGTCCAGTATCCTCAATCATCTGTCCTAATTGGTGAATCCTTGCCCATTTAGAAAACACAGACATCAAGTTGTGAGCAGTTTCCATAACTTTTATGGTAGTCAGTATTGAAGAGTGCCGATTCATCGAAATTGCTCAAGTGAGTCATATGGTGGTGTTTATTTTAGCTGCTTGCATGAAAGTGCAAACAATTGATGCTGAATACTTGGAGTGAATTTAAAACTGAGGGGGCACTTCTCACCCTTCAAGGTTTTGATACTTTCCTTCTGTCAATATTTATACTACAAAATCAGTGATGTACAGATATATGCAGGAAATGAGTAGAAGAGGCATGCTACTGGGAGGGCAAAGAAAATGGATAATCAGATTTAGAGTCCTCACAGAAATGTTACTTGCAGCATCTAAGCACCTCTAAAAGACAGTGAGAGAACTGCTGAATCACCCACCCTTTCCATAAGCATCTTTGCCTTTATTAAACTTTTCAGAATGTAAATACATTGACAATAATACTGCTACAGCAAGCTCAGAATAAATTATGAGCAAAACAAGTGAACAGCAAATTTATTTCATGAATACCTGGTTTGTGAGCAGAAACTAAAACTGGCTTGACAACATCTGGTGCTTCCCAGAGAATCCTATGGTGAAGCACAAAAGCTACTTTGGGTGTTTGATTTTGTCGGGCTTTAAAACCAGAGATCACAAATTGACAATTACACACTGCTGCAAGTATTCAGAGCTGGGTTGAAACCCCAATTAACAACAGAGACAGAGCTCTGGCCAGCAAGAATGACTCAGAGACTTTGCTTGCCATTTGTTAGGATAACCATCTCTTCAGGGAGTTTGCAAAGACCAGGGAAATGCGATTGGGCAAAACCAAGAAAAGACGAGATGCTGCCCATGGAGGATGGAATGAGAGAAGGTAGGTTCGGGCAGAGGACTGTCTTAACTCTCCTAGAAGGAGCCCAACCCGATGTGGGCCTTTAACCCCTCTGTGAGTGTGAAGGAACACTTACCATGTGTTCAGTTCTCTGGCAGTAGGCTGCTGTCTTTCTCAAAACTGCCTTTCTGAGCAGAAGGATAGCTTTCACAACCCCACGCTTCTGTTTTTCTCCACACCAACAACAGTTTTAAAGGAAGAACAGCATCACTGTGTGTTAGCCAGTTACCGACAGCACCCCACTGACGTGTCCAAAGCATGCCGAGGTAGCCTCGAAGGCACACAGTGATGGTCGTGCTGTGACAGCCTTGGGGGAGCAAGGCTTGCAGCTTTGGCTGCCGGAGTCAAACCCTGCTGTGTGAATGGCCTTTCTGATGGGTAATGTTTTGCAGCTGCTGCTGCAGCACTGGGTCTGACTTGCAGGATGCTGTGAGTTCCCTCTTTCCCAGGAGCTGGGCTAGCACACTGCATTGTCGACATTCAGCCGTTTGGCACAGTGTGGTGTTAGTACCTGCTCTGCATTGCCATAAGCTGTCAGCTTGAAATGCTGTTTAAAGCATTTGAGACCATGTCCACACTTGAAGAGTGATCCAGAGCTAACCAAATGTAACAAGTCTTCAAAGTGACTTAAATGAGCTGGAAATCAGACCTCTGAAGCAATTGCTGCTCAGGTTACTTACCACCCCTGTACTAAGGTAAAGCCTGCCATGTGAAGCACATTCGCCCTGAAGCGTCAGCAGGGCTGCAATATCTGTTTATGGATTTGGTGAGCCCTCTTAGCACGGGTGACCTTGGAGAAAAGGGAGATCAAATGTACAGCACAGCCACACTGAGCAAGCATTCCCCTAACCGTCAGTGGGAGTGATGTGAGCCTGGCGGTAGCCCTCAGATCAAATAAGTACTAGCTAGTGGCATTTTACCCTTCCTACTGAGATAAAGGGGGTTCTGAAACACTTCCTGGGGTTTGCTGTGGGAGTTGCAGGGTCCTGCACAAAGCCCTGTGACCTGTGTCTCTGAGGGGGTTCCCCACACCACAGGAGGGCAGAGGAGGGGAAGCATTGTTCCAAGCCAGGTGCTGCTTCCTGCAACCTTGTCTTAGTGTTGGGCTGCATTCAGAACAGATACTGTAATGCATTGCATGTACTTAGGTGCATCTTACGTCTAAGACAGCAAGGCAGACCCCTTTTCTCCCAGCTTGTCAGGTCTGGGCCCCTTTTATCTCTTTTTCTTTCTCTTAGAGAAAAAAGCACCATAACATATCGATGCTGGCTGAAGGCAGCTCAACTGTAATGCCTGCCTCTTTGTATTGACACAGAGGGAAACAAGCTCTGTACTATAGACTGCTCACTGCTCCTTCACTGGGGAACTGGACTGGCTAGTAGTTATCTGTCTCAGCCCTGTTGACTTTATTTTCAGCTTGGTATTTCTGTTATTGATAGCTCCATTATCGGATGGGTTATTGGCTGCTCAATGAACTGTCAAACCACTAATACTGTCTCTTTGGTGCTGTAGTTGATTTCCAGCATGCAGAATCGTGCATCACTGGTCTGCAGTCTATACCCTGCTTCCATAGCCCCTCTACCAAAGAACAGGATTTGAGTATCATCTGCCAGAAGGCATTAATTTATTTCACTCATATGTCTCTGCCTAGACAAAGATTGTCCTTGCTGCCCTCAGCACTGCATCAGTGGCCACATGGCTATAACATGTGCAAAGGGATTCCTCATGTTCCTAACATGCAGTAACAACCTTGCACTAAGATTTTACCATAGTATAAAATACAGAAGCAGTGATCAAAAAGCAAATAGTTCACAGCCCTTTCTTCACAAGGGCAACCTCATTTCAGAGAGGGAGTTGCAAGTTTTGTTCCTTGTGGGTATGTGGGAAGAAGGTTTTAGGATCACTGCTCCCTGGAGTGCTGGCCCATTGCTCTCCAGTGTTCATGTCTGCAACCACTGGGATCTCTAAGAAGAAGTGAGAATGGAGTCTACCTTTTCATAAAGCAGAGGAACCAAACCAAGTTTTGATACTGAACCTTCACATGTCTCTGCATTGTCTCCAGGACAATTTGAGCCCTGGAAATTAAACTTACCTTACAGAGACTCTCAGCTGCCCAGGACAGCAGGTGTAAAAGTACCAGAACCAACACCAAAAGAAAGCATGTCTCATATTATGAGCTTTCTCAAGATTTTAATCCAAATTTCTGTTCAAGTTCCTACTGTTGAAAATGAGATATGAAGTGTTAAGACCTACTCAGATGGTTTTATTTCACCCTCTATGGATATATAATACAAATTACAATATGTATGGATCTAAAAGCAAGTAAATGGAAAAGAACAATCAGTTTAAAAAAAAAAATTGTAATTCAGAAGAAGAAGTAGGCTCATTTTACAGGTAACTGATTTGCATCAAGCTGATATTACTGTTCATTGTAACTGTTGTTATTAAAAACGTGTGGAAAATAAATTTTCAGAATCCAATTTGTGTTGCTCTTTCATTTCACTCCACTGATACATGGAAAGCAGTGGGCCTTACGGTTCAACCACTTTCCACTTTCACATTCCCCTTCACTAACGCAAAGTTAGTAGTAAATTGCACAAGAATGTACAAATGAATCATGACTCTGTTTTACAAACTCCTAAGAGTGTCTGTGCTTATCTTAAATACAGCAAAATCTGCCTCATTTTAATCTGGGGCTTAAATCTGATTGGCAGCATTGTCTTTGCATTAATATATTGCGGTGTGCTGCAGAAGCGGATCTGCAGCGCGAAGCACTTGGCAACCAAACCCAACACCCACGCTATCTGTGTTGTGGGGATTTACTTTGAAGTAGCCTTAGTCTGGATTCACATTAGCAGTTGTAGCATGTCACTGCCTTGGCTTCACACTCTCCAGGAGTGTTCTGCAATTGAAGTGTGGCATTTGGGGACCATAGATACAGCTGTTGAAACATTCTCCTGATTCACTAATGTAGGTAGACCAGATGAAGTGCGGTTCACCATCACCTTGTTTTTTATGTTCTTGTAATCGAAGCACTGATGGTTAAAATCAGGATGAGAAGGACTGGGCCCTTCAAGAGTACAGATAGCTAAAAGGACATTCTTAATCATTCAAGGTCCAGAGAGCTTTTCTAAAACACTCTCCAATGAGTGCTGAAAATTGCTGCATTTATTTCATGACTAGATCCATATGTTTTCTTTCAAATTATTGTTTGGCTGTGCTCAAATAACTCACAATGTTAACTTCAGCAACTCCAGTTATCACAGTGCAGGTTTGGTGGTTGGCAGGAGCAGAGGGCTGGCTGTTAACTTGTACAATTCCCTTCAGCCTGTACTTCTTTTTTTTCCAAAGCAGCTGGTTTCAGCTGCCCTGACTGTTCTCACCATCTCCACTCTCGCTGTCAACAAAGAATGGAGCCCTGATTTTCATGGCAGAGTATTTTAGTGAGTACCACACCCCATGCCACGTAGACCAAACCAAGCCATCATCATGGGGTCCATTGTACCTTCCTGTTCTGTAGTACCGGCCATTGAGATTCACAGCATGGCACCTTGTAATGATGTAGGAGAGGGAAAAAAGGAGATGAAGTTTAGTGTGGGAAGATACTGCACCATTCCAGTGAAGTACAATTTTCACACAACATAGATTTAGAAATAACCAGGGTGGGATTTGTTGACAGATTCAGACACCTAGATATATCTGTCTGTACTGAACTGGTTATCTAAACTCCTACAGTAGCCTATGGAGATCTGGTTAATGCATTTAGTGGAACGCAGAGAAGTATGTGGGTCATCCCAAAGTAGACACCTACATTTCTCAGATAATTCAACATGTTGACTCCTTCAAGTGTATTAACTAGGGACAGGATCCAGCTGCCTAAACAGAGAGGTGGAGAGCCATTTGGTAGGCTCTAGCTGAAGTGTAGGCAGCTATGTATTGGCACCTAAAAATGTAGATGTCTTTTGATAAAGGTAAATCCCACTATTGATATACATTTTTGTAGCTCCACTGTTTTCAATTTGCATGTGATGAGAGGCAGTCAAAGAAGAGGCACATCCTGCCCTAAAGCAGAGAAAAACTGAGCAGTGTGTCCATGCTCCCAGGACTGATAAACCCTACTCCCTGTCTGTCAATGTGTGGGGTGTGCCCAGCTAGCAAATACATCACCAGGATTCTTAAAGGGTAGGTCATGCCCTAGACATGCTCCAGAATAATGTCCTATGTACATGCTTCACCTTGCAGTGACCACAGTTCCTTTTTTTGGGTTATGACCCAAAGCACATTAAGGAATTTTAATAGGGCTGTTTTCCCCTCTAGATCATTCCTCCATATGCATTTATAGAATCATAGAATAGTTAGGGCTGGAAGGGACCTTAAGATCATCTAGTTCCAACCCCCCTGCCATGGGCAGGGAAACCTCACACTAAACCATGCCACCCAAAGCTTCATCCAACCTGGCCTTGAACACCGCCAGGGATGGAGCATTCACAACCTCCCTGGGCAACCCATTCCAGTTCCTCACCACCCTTACAGTAAAGAACTTCTTCCTTACATCCAATCTAAACTTCCCCTGTTTAAGTTTTAACCTGTTACTCCTTGTCCTATCACTACAGTCCCTAATGAAGAGTCCCTCGCCAGCATCCTTGAAGCCCCCCTTCAGATACTGGAAGGCTGCTATGAGGTCTCCACGCAGCCTTCTCTTCTCCAGGCTGAACAGCCCCAACTTTCTCAGCCTGTCTGAGCACTCAGGAGGTGCTCCAGTCCCCTGATCATCCTCGTGGCCCTTTTCTGGACTTGTTCCAACAGTTCCATGTCCTTTTTATGTTGGGGACACCAGAACTGCACACAATACTCCAGGTGAGGTCTCACAAGAGCAGAGTAGAGGGGCAGGATCACCTCCTTTGACCTGCTGGTCACGCTCCTTTTGATGCAGCCCAGGATACGGTTGGCTTTCTGGGCTGTGAGCGCACACTGAAGGCGGCTCATGTTCATTTTCTCATCGACCAACACCCCCAAGTCCCTCTCCGCAGGGCTGCTCTGAATCTCTTCTCTGCCCAACCTGTAGCTGTGCCTGGGATTCCTCCAACATTTATTCTGACCTTTTTTCTGAAAATCAATAGCCCAGTTTCTTACAGTGAAAACAACTTACCTGCTTTCCTTCATAATGGAAGAAGCAGATTGCTTTCCCTTGAGGATCTGTAGGTGTCAACATCTTAGGTTTGGTTGTGTGAGATGGCAAGATCACATAGCAACCTCCAGCTGAGTAAGGCTGACAAGTCCTCTTGGCTGCGCCCACACCTTCTGCATCCAAGAGGAATCGACTGCTTTCCTTACCTGTTAAACCACCAGCCACCCTTGTTCTCAGATGCACAGTTGCCTGCCAGGAATCGATCGTGATCCTTGTCAGATGTGGTGAACTGCATCCCTCTGTGAGAGGCTGACCACTGATCTTCAAAATTGCTCCCACCAGACAGAGCGTCGCCAGCGTTACCAGAATAGGTGCCAAACCATAACCTGTAATTGTCCTGCAGTAATATGTGAAATATGTCTTTGATATCAGCTCTTTCTGCCCTTCCTCCCATTTCTGAGATCAAATTTGCTCTGGCCATTGTATCTACTGTGAAAAGCATGACTGTTGAAGCCAAGGGTGACTTCTGGTCCCATGCTTTAGTGATCCTAGTATAGCTCAAGGCAGGATTTAAACTTCTAGGAGGGATTGCTGATTACTGCTGATGCTACAAAGGGCTTCAGGTTTTATTGTCTTTCAACAGCCATTTGAAAACTAAACATACTGGAAGGCTCTTCCTAGCTCATCAAGAGCAACTTGGCAGGAAACCATGCCAAGCAGTTGCCTTCACAAACTGATCAGTTTCAGTTAGAATAACTCCTAGGATGTAGGAGAACCAGGTTCACTTTCCTTGCAGGGTTTCAAACCTGCATCTCCTCCCTCACAGAAGACTCCTAACCATGAGGCTGGAGGCAAATGCATGTGGGAATCCCTGTGCCCTGCGATAGAGAGACTGTAAGAGAGCCCATACACATGATCCTGTCTTGGATCTTGGCTTGGGCACTCAGCAGTGTGAGGAAGAAGTCCCAGGCTTATGTCCCTGCTCCCAGGGCTGTTTGTCAGTCAGCCCAACCAGGAATCCCAGGGAACCAAAGCAGGTGAGTTTTGCAGAGTTGCAATTACAACCCTGATACTGAAGTCTGATGCTTCATGTGCAGATGCCCCACCCTCACAGACAAAACAAGCAAATCACTCTGCTCTCCGTTCCGTACCTGCTCATTTGCAAGCTGGAAATTTTCATAGACTGCATAACGTCTTTCCCCATGCCAGTCCATCAGGTCAATCTTTAATGAGCTCTCTCCTAAACACAAAGTGATGTCATGTTAGAACTATCTCATGCAGATTGGAAAGAAATCTATGGAGGGAAAATACTTGCACCTCTAGTGAGCAGGTCATAGATGTGGTCATTGCCCAGCCAGTATTCATCATTCCTGTCCTGGAATTTCCCAAATCCCAGTTTGTAATCATCCCATTTCCTGCAGTGAGATACAAATACCAATTTCAGCACGTGAGGGAACTAGACAGTTTGTGACACTTGGCTATGGAAACAAGTAAAACTTCAGCTGTACCTCTAGACACTGTTTTCTACAAGTATCTGATTCATTGCAAGCTGAGCTGAGATTTGTCACTCTGCCTTAGAATTAAATACAACTTGCAGCTAGCTTCTGCTAAACCTGTGCACACATACATTGGGATCAAACCTTCATACTGCCAGATGCCATGCTTGCAGAATGAGGTTGTCAGTTAGATGAAAAGGGAAACCAGCAGCTGTCATACTGGTCTTCAGCAAAGCATGTGATATTGTTCTTCAGCAAGCCATAATTGAAATGCACTCCTGGCTGGAAATGAATGTTGCAATCTAAAATATGCTGCATTCCTGGATGTATGATGTGGTATGGTGAAGAATCAGAAATTGAATAGAAGCTGCAAACAAAAGCTTCCAGATGGAGTTAAAAGCAAAATATCTGGGTTTGTTTTGTGTCATGTTCCATTTAAATCTACTTTTGATGCATTGACCACTCCTACCTCTGCTTTTTTCACATGATCACTGTTTGGATGTGGTAACTTGTCCTTCAAAGATATATACTTTTCATCAGCATTCTCTGCCTTCATCTTTCTAAGAGAAATCTCCTGCTGTTACTTTCTCCCCATCATTCTCTTAAAATCTCCTCTGTTATTTATGTATTATTTTAAATATTCACGTATACTTCTGTGTATCATCGTTTCCAGTTTTACCAACCTCATGTTTATTCCCTCTCTCATGTTACTGGGGATATTAACTCTGCCTGACCTTCATACTAGTCAATGCTTCACTTCAGATTGTTTTCCCTTCACCTGTGTTGAGAGCTGAACTACCATGGCTAGATAGCTACCATGCTCTAGGCAAGCCAGCTTAAAGCCAGTTGAGATTCCTTTGCAATGGACTGCACTGACTGTAAGAGACACGAGACATGCCCTGAAGTTGTGTGTGCTATGATAGTGAATTAATCTGCATGATGATATTTCTTTTTAACTGTGCTACCAGAGCATCTCTCCTTGTGGAGATTTCCAGGTGAAAGTCACCTTCCTAGAATTTTGCATAGAGAGAGGACAATCTGGACCAGTGGTCTGGCATCTTTTTGAATGATCTGAATAAGAAAACATGTTACACCATGCTGAACAAAAAATCCTGATATGAGAATACGTTCAACAGGTATCAGTCTGTGTGCTGACAGCAGATACCTGCCCATTTGGAGCCTTCAACAGTCCCCATTAATGATAAAACCAATATACACACGTATACACTTAAATACAGAGAAGTCATGGAAAAGGCATTATAGGTCCATTTTGAGAATGGCCTCCTACTACCTGTATATACCACTAGATTGTCCTAATGCAAAGAGTTATCATCACTGAGTATAGTCTTGCACATCCTGCTTCTAAGACAGGGTTTGCCAGGCAGCAGGATGGGGTGGAAGCTGTAGGTGTGACTGTGAGCCCTGTTGATGCACCCACCTGTTGAAGCTCTCCTTGCCATTACTGCGCCGCTGGATGACGGTCCAGCCCCCGCCATCAGACATGTCACAGTACACCAGGAACGGCTCTTGGTCTGCCCTGGGCCTGATCCGGTAGTAGCCGTTTTTGGTGTTCTTCCGATCATACACGGCAGAGCAATCTGGGCAGAACAGTACCAACTTGTTAAACAGGGCAGGGGGAAGCAAAGGGGTACGCGCAGCCTAGAGCGGACATTGCTGAAAGGCTGCCTGGGACAAGGACAGTTGGCCAGCCTGTATACAGCTCTGCAAGCCCTGCAGAGCCAAAGCAAATTGTCCAGTAAGGTAAGAGCATTGCTGGTTGCAAACTCCTGGGCCTGACAAAGAGCAGCAAGGTTTGAGAGCCTTTACAGCTATGCCCTCTGAGGGAGTCATTCCCAAATCTTCAGTGAGACATGAGATGGCTGCAGTGCAGGCTGGAGCTTTGGAATAGGAGTGATGCAGGACCAGAACTGGCTCTGTCAGCAAGACTTTGCAGGGAAGCTGATTTCCACTTGGAAGGTAACCTCAGATGTACTTCAGATTGATCAAGGTCTAAGATTTCTAAAACAAGAGGCTAAGCGCCTGTGACGAGCTCTACCAGGGCTGTATTGGGAGAGTTCCTTTCAGGACCCCAGTGCTTCACACTTTCAATATAATGCCCATGAAGGACAAAATCTTGATTTCAGTGCTTGCAGTTGAGACAGATGCTCTGGGCTCCAGTAAGTAACTCAAGGAAATGGACTCTTCAAGAGCAGGACCCATCTCTCCCTAAATGTCTAAAGTAGGTCTCATAGCAAACATCTGAGAGGTGCCTGTCCAGCTCTGCACCAGGATACCAAACCCAGCTGCAGGTGTCTGGCTGTACCTGGGTGGTAGCTGCCTGAAGCTGCCCAACTCACTCTGGCCCCAGGGGATGTCTGTTGGTACCAAGGCCACCACTGTTGGCCAGTCTGCCCTTCTCTTCCCATGTATCTCAGTTTTAAAACACAACACACTTTAAAAATGTTAAAACTTTTAGCAGAAATAAAATATGACACATGGGGCATTGCAGGGAAAAACAAACACCATGGTGAGCTGAAATTTCCACACACACTACTGTAGGCTATACCTTGGTCGTAGACTATCAAATTTCCACTGGTTGTAGGTAAAAGCATCTTATGCTGCATGCTCCTGTTGCCTGAGAACAGCCCACTGCTTGTTCTATGGTAAGTGTTCTCCAGGATGTCCTTTAGTTGTAGTTCATATAAGAAAAGCAAGTCTTGAAGCTGTTTTGACCTTTGTCTTAATTTATCGTTGTCTAGGAGGCAGATATCTTTTTCCTATGGAGGAAATAAAAGAACACACCCCACCCCACCCCCCACCCCCCCTTCAGTCAGTGGTAGGAACAGGGAGGCAAGAGAGAGCAGTATCTGTCTCCTGTTGTCTCTACCATGTCACACTGCCTCTGTGGATCAAGATCAGTCGATGGTGGTCTTCTGAGATACAGAAATCTTGCACAGCAAGGGCTGTTGAATTGAACCCAATGGAAAAGGGTTTTTCTACAATGACCGTGTCGCTGCACAAAGCATCCCAGAATATGACCAGATATACAGAAAATTACTTTGGACAAAGACAGTATGTCTCAACTCCCATTTAATGAACTCAAAGGGGTGTGTACAGACTGTGAATGATAAACCATTGAGAGGTTGTACAGACACTAGGTAAAAGATACACACCGAAAACCTGGGTGCGGGTGAGCCAAAGCTGACCAGCAGAAGGAGCAGCAACCAGGGCATCATCACACTCATTTCTTATCACCTGAAAAGAAGCATTGACAGGCTGCAGAGGAGGTTTCTTTGGTTCTTCTCACAACTTAATCCCCCCTCACAGTCATGTTTAATTCCCCAGAAAATGCTGCAGGATTTGTTAAAGAGGTTGCTTGAAACTACAGGCAGTACAAAACCAGGGGAAAGATGTGTGTCTGGGAAAAGCTGAAGCACCAGTGCAGTGTGCTGACAGCCACTGGACTTCAGTGGAAGAGATCTCTGCTGCCAACCTGCCCCAGCATACAGACGGGGCTTCCGTCAGAGAATCTCAGCTAGAAAAAACACTGAGTTACTGCCACTGGGAACATTCAGCTGAGCACAGTGATCAGCACAGATTGTTCGCAGGGTGCTTTGAAAAACAATAAAAATCAGAAAGAGTTAAAAAAAAAATCCGAAAAATAGGCTAAAACTGACTCCCCTGCTGCACATCTGGAAGTGCTGCAAAAACTTGGCTACCCAGCTCTTTCCTTTAAGCATCTATGTGCTTTGTTTCAGCTACGGCTCTATTAGAATTCCCAGGGAGGCTGAGGCTAGGGCTGCTTCCAGAGCCAGCAAAGCTGTTGCCACAGTGGAGCCATCTGCCGGGCTGGCCAGGCAGGGCCCAAAGCAAGCCGAGAGAAGCAGCACTCCACGGAGGGCACCTATAAAAGATGTCGTGCAGGTGTGTGCCCCAGAACACGGCACTTTTTCAGCTCACAGAGGAGTTCAGGGTGACAGCAGCCCGTGATGCTGGTGCTTTTCATCCACACCGCCACGCAGCCATGCGGGTGGCTACAGCACAGAATTGGGCTCCACACAGGGCAAGTGGGTGGAGGCAAAATGCCAGGAGGAAGGATGGGTTTGAGCGATGGCTCCTGGAAACCAGACAGCACAGACCGAAGGAAAAGAAAGCAGCTTCATCCACACCTTTATCAACACATGAAATGCACATACCTGTAACTCGCCTTCCCTCCAGACCTCCTCCTAAGATTATCTCCCTTAAAAGTCAACTGCAAAAGAAAGTGATCATAAATCTGGCTGCATCTCTAGAGGTTGATGAGATTTTCATCCTCAGATGGCCCATGCCAGGGGTGCAGATGAAGAATGTCTCACAGCACTAGGCAGTTGCACAGAAAAGATACTTGCAATTCCTTGTGTGATAGTTACCCAAAGCCCAGGTTGTCTGTTGTTACCCAATATTCATCCTGCTGCTTCCCAGTGAGGATAACTGCCAGTGAGGTTTCTATCAGCAGTGCTCTCCAAAGGAGAGGGGCTCTGCTGGTTGCATAGTATTACCCACCTTATTTGACTAGGAAGCTCAACCAAGACTGACTAAATGTTTGTATGAATCACTAAGACTAATGCTCCCTGTGGGAGTTTTATCTCATGTTTAATACAGCCAGGCTCATTTCATGAAGTCCTGCAAGGTGGAAAGAACATAGCTTTTGTGTTTAACATTCCTTTTGTGGTTTATTCTGGTTTATATGTAAAAGTAGAGCACAGTTGTAATGCCAAAAGAGCTGCTAATCTGAAGCAAGAAGCAAATGTGGGCGTATTAAGCAAGATTTGCTATTTGACTGAAGTCTCAGGAGGTTTGCAGTTGTGTAACTCTCCTCTGAGCTGGATAATAAGATTTGCTAGTTAACACAAACAAGGACATTTGTGAAAGAGAGAAATAAAAAATCCCAAACAAACAGATGGGTGCCTCCTTTTGCATTATGGCCAAGGAATTACAGATTATTTTAAAGAAGACAGCAGAAATTTTCCACTTTACAGAGATATGTTCAGAGGATAGACTGGGGTCAAAAGACAAGGTATATAAGCCCGTAGTTAAGCTCTGTGTTAATCTCCAGGAAAACAGGACTGTCCAGCTATTACCAAGTACAGCTATTCCGTTTATTTCTTAAACACTATTTCTTAAACACTGCATTCCTCTTCTCCCGCAAGAACACTGACCCATTTCACTGCCAAAGGATTATGAAAACAGTGCTTTACTCCTCACTTGTTCTCTACACCCATTTTAGGCTGGTTTGGCAGCTGTGAAATTATATGCGTGAAACATTTCCTCATGAAACTCAACCCTTTGCTCTGCCCCTTTGGCCAGGGGCTGCAGCCAACAGTAGGGTGCTGGGGTATTGTGCACCTGGGCACAGGGGGCTGCACAGCCTCCCCTGGGCTCCTCCACAGCAGTGTCTCTTTCCCAGCTGGAGCCAGCCAGCACTTACGATGCTGTGAACCAGTTCATGCTCTTGCCTACATGATCAACAGCCTCCTCAGCCCATGAGCACCTCCTGCTCCTAGGTGAGATCCACAAGAGGCCTCGTTCTGTGAGTGGCAGCCACTCCATCCACGTAATGGAGTCACGGTGTGGGAAGCATGGTCAGCCCTGCAGCTGCCTGCAGAGCGGTATGGCTGTGGAGTACCAGGCCCCATGTCTTGGAGTTCTGCAGGTCCCTAGGTAGGAGGGCAGTGAGCTGCAGTCCTGGTGGGACTCACGTGTGTATGTGGCATGACTGCAACTTTGCAAGAACAGGACTCAAATTCCAGCCCTCCTTCAGGGACTCCTCAAACGCCTCTCATAGACATCTGCAGCACTCTTACACACTCTCTATGACTCCACCAGTGTTAGCCTCACCAGTGTTTGCATGTGAAAAAGCCAGTCAGCTGGAACATGTTTCTTGCACATCTGCTTCACAATGAACTTATTTTCCCAGGCTAGATGAAGCTTTAGGAACATTTGAAGCACAAGAGAGGGGTTGCCATGAAGCTGTGTTCACGTGAGGTGGGTTTAGCAGGAGGGTGTGTTCATGTACTGCTCCACTGGCCTGGAGCTAAAATAATCAAGTCATTATAAAGAATGTTGGACACTGTGTGATCATTGATGTTGTTTCCTCACAGATGCTGAAATCCCTAGGCAATGCAACTGCAAATGCTCCTTTTTTTTTTCCCTGGAATACACATGCTTCCCACATATTCTGCAGTGCAAATTCCTGTTCAGTTACTTGGAAGGAGATCAAATTACCTTTTAAGATACTCAGTGATCTTGTCAGCAAATAATAACAGTTTCATTAACCAAAAACCTCTCCACCCTCCTCCACCCTCCTTCCAGCAAAAGTACATAGGTGCTGAATAACAGTCGTGAAAAACTATTACTCACACATTAAATGCACAGCAAGCACAGGAAGAATGCAAACTGATGGATAAATATGAATGAGGAGAGTGGCTCTGGGGCAGCTCTTGGTACTCCTTCAGTCCCGGGGCACTGGGCTCCCCCAGAAAGAGTAGGTTGGGATAAAACCATGACCATGACATATGATGGACATTCACTCCCTGAGAGCCCAGCTGAACTGCAGCTGGATGACAGTGGTGGCATCTCAAAACTCTTCAAAGACACGTCTGGAATACTGTGTTCAGTTCTGGGGTCCTCAGTACAAGAAAGACAAGGAGCTACTGGAGAGGTCCAGTGGAGGGCCACAAGGATGTTCAAGGGTCTGGAGCATCTCTCTTATGAGTAGAGATTATGGGATCTGCGCCTGTTTAATTTAGAGAAGAGCAGACTGAGCGGTGATCTCATTAATGCATATAAATATCTCAAAGGTGGGTGCCAAGAGAGTACCAGACACTTTCCAGTGGTGCCCAGTGACATGACAAGGAGCAATGGCCATAAACAAAACCACAACAAGTTTCACCTCAATATGAGGAAGAAACTCCTGACGTTAAAGGTGGCAGAGCACTGGAACAGGCTGCCCAGAGGGGTTGTGGTGTCTCCCTCCCTGGAGACATTCAAAACCCACCTGGCCATGTTCCTGTGTAACATGCTCTAAGTGGCCCTGCCTTGGTAGGGGAACTGGACAAGATGATCTCCAGAGGTCCCTTCCAACCCTAATGATTCGGTGATTCTGTGACCAGTTCCTCATGTTTTGTTCTTAAAAGGAGCAGGGACTAAATGAGGTAGACTGCTTCAGACTCCAAAGCAGTTAGAGACCTGAGGTTTCCAAAGCAAGAATCTGACTGCCTACCTGTGATCTGAGAAAATGCAGAGTAGGCTGAAGCCAGCTCCAAGCAAAACAGCTCATTTGCACTGAATCCAGGTGCTTTATGCATTTGCCATTGTTTTTATACTATTTCTACCATGTCCCACCTTCCATGAACATGGGCTCCATTGCAGGCACTGCAGATCTGGAGATATAAGGGGTCCACAGGCTCTTGATACCTGAGCTACTAAATATCTTCTGTAGGAACCTGGATGCTAGATTTTTTAAGACAAAGTTAATGTATGAGGTCTGAAACAATTTTTTTTTTTTAATCTAATAATAAAGGGTTTCATCAAAAGTAAGATAAATGTAGAAGATTGGGATGACATCAGCCACCACAGTTTCAATCTACCAAATAACCGAAACCAGCACATGTGCATTAAAAGTCTGTGGTTTGTGAGCAAGGAGTAACCACAGAAATGTGTGTACAAAGAAGGACCAATGGCAGACCATGAAACACACTAGATCTGAATGTTTTGATAACGTTCAAAGAGCAAAGACATAATTCAGTCTAACTAATGAGTCTGCATGCAGCCTGTGAGTATCTAATGGGTTGACACAACAAACGTAATGAGTTTGGAAGATCCTGAGGGCAAGCACAGGTCCCCTGGATCTCACATCAGGAATAGCTGTACCAAAGGGAATTAGTCACAAGGCCAGAGGGAGTATGTGGATTATCTGCATGATCTTCTACCTACCTCAGGTCAGAGAACTCCCTGACCTAATTCAGTCCCATTTGAATGAGAGCATCTCTTTGAGAAAAAGATATTCTGGTGCAAAATATTCAGTGCTTAAAAACCAGCCATCACCTTAGCATGCTCTTCCACTGCTTAATCACCCACATTGTTAATTATTATTGGTTTTTTGCCTTAAATCTAAATCTGCCAAGTCACATCCTGCAGCTCTTTAATCTCATGCTGCTTTACTCTGCAAAGGGGAAGAGCCTTCTGCTGCCAAATGTCTTTTTCCCTGCTCAAGGCTAGGTTCTGTGATTGCCCCAGCTGGGAAACCAAACCCTGGTTACCTGCTTTGGCTGCAGGGGGAAAGCCAGCAGGGTCATGGAGCAAGGGGTTACATGGAGCTTGTCCTGGGCAAGGCTGGGCACCATGGCACAAGCACATCCCAAGGGAAGGGGCACTTGTGGACAGGGCACTTGGCTGGCATGGAGAGGGAGGGCAAACCCAAGCTTTTCTCCTGAGGTGATTCCATTCAGGGTTGTTAAATGCAGAACACATACATAGAGGTGCTGTAAGATGTGGGTGGTGTTTGGCAGGGTGTAGTGGATGGAGGTGGTCTCACTAGGCTTGTTGAGGGCCTCCAGGGACTCCAGTACTCCTCTGCCTAGATTCAGGATCCCAATCCAGCCTAAGGAGGAGACTAGCAGGCAAGATTTGTGGCCAGGACAGTCCAGGGCATGCACAGGAGCAGAACTGTAGGTCTTGGAGGATCTCTGCAGCCCAACAGAGTGATGTTTGATCAATTTAATTGTCTCTAATGTTAGGCAGCTGCTGAGAAAATATCTTTCTAGATCTAAATTTCAAAGTTTTAAGACTGCTTACACCTCTTTTGGGGCACCAAGACCTTTTTTTGAGATCCAGCCCTGAGCAACTGTGATTAAGCCACTCCTTGTCTTTTTTTTTTTTTTCAGAAGACAGGCAGCTTTGAGTGCATTTCATAGACTTTTAACTCACATGATGATTCTTCCCTCTTTCTTCTGGAATTGTGGTTGCCAGGACTGGAGACCTGAGAGCAGATAGGAGCGAAGTAAAGAGATCAAGCAGTATTTCCAAACCAACATCTTTCCTGTCTGTGGATCAAAGGATCTTGTTACTCCTTTTGTCACAGCCACATCTCACAGTCATCTATGTCTGGCTGCTCCCCACCACTACCCCAGGATTTTTCAGAGTTACCTGTCTTCATGACACAGTTGCTGATGCTCCAGGCCTGTCCTGCCTGCAGTCAGGATGATTGTGATTCACAACATGAGAAGTTAGTCCAGAAGTGCTTGCAAGCTGTTTGACAGGGACACAGGTGGCAGGTGCCTTGCAGTGACAGTTAGTGGGACTGTAAGTAGACTGATGATTTTTTAAAAGCTATTGCACGGTCCTTTAGGTACCAAGGGCTGAAAAGCACCATCCTGAGGTCCTTTGTTCTGAGACTGACAGTGGGCGTATGGAAAAGCATGTTGCTCGCTCATCTGAACTCACCAGATGTTACAATTTACCCTGTGCTACGCAGCTATTCATCTGACTGACCACTTTCCCAACTGCTGTGTCAGCTGCAGACTTCATCCCATGGGATTTTAGCCAGGGCATAATTTTAAACAAAACAACAGAAATCAACACAACATTAAGCACCATAAGACAACACCCAATCCCTGCAGAAACTCTCTCTGGAAAGAAATTGCTTATGGATGGTTCCCCTTTTAAGACTAGTATGCTGGGTTTTCACCAGTAATGAACCATATTGAGTTTATATTCTTCTACCTCTTTAATCAAAGTGATTTTCTAGCCAGACAGTTGCTTACTGTCTGCAACAAAAAGCAACAAAATACTTTTGTCAGTAAAACTTGTAGTCTTGGTTTAGAAATATAAATCAGTTTGATAGGAATTATTTTTCCTAATCCCATGATGATTGGCATTAATTATCATTATTACTAAGACTCTTTAATACTTTATTAGTTGAAACTCTGTCTACTCTGCTCTCATTTCAGCTGTGAGCAAAGCCAAGATGACCGATCTACCAGCATCAGGTCATCTGACCTACCTGCTTTTAATATTGACAGAAAATTGATTTCCCCTCCCCACTTATCTGTATATTTTTGCTATCCCAAGAGTTAATAAAAATAAAACTACTTTCCTTGGTTATTTCTCTTAAGAGTTTCAGACATAAATCAGCCATGCCTATCAATTTTAAAACCTGTCAAGCGAAGAGATTCTGTTTACTACCCTCCCTGTTATTTTTGGAATGTAAAGTATGTTCATCACCCCTCTGAGATATGCATACTTCATCCTACTCTCTATCCAGTATGTAACTGGACTACTTACTGAACGTTTCAATCTCTTCTGCATTTTGATGACAATTCTGGTACTTCACACTGATGAATAATAATCAAGGGATCAGAACTGGATTTTGATGGCTCTTTAAATGTCAGTGTCATGAGTTAACCAGCAAAACATAATGAAAATGACTGATAAGTCTTGAATTTAAAACAAAACAAAACAAAAAAAAAACAGAATATTTTCAATGCTTTCCTTTTATTTTTAGCTTTATGAACCTTGCCCTATGCTTTTCTCCACTACCTGAGAGCTAGAAATTTGGTTTTATTACTTTAGAAAAAAAAAAAAGGTTGTGTTTTTATTTTAGTCATCTGAGTCCAGAAGTTAGGGTTTTAAAAAAATTGAGTAACCACCTGGCAAATCTTCTACAGCATCACCAATGCTGTAAGATTAGCAACATGAAAGGCACAGTTACAGTGTTATCACTGGCAATGCAGCATCTATCTGTTTGATGAATAATGGGAAGAACTGGCTTTTCTAAGTGCAGCCTCTAGCAAGCTGGTTCATTTACAGCCCTGGCATTCAGTCCAAACTGGAAGCCTCCAGCCCCTCCTGTGACTTGCTGTAAGTTGTTCTGTGAAAAGTCTGCTTCTATATCCAAATTGCTTTCACACCTTGGTGCTTTCAGAGCCCAGGGCAGGGGAAACGAGACTTCTGTGTTTCTACAGTCTTCTCCAGTATGGCCCTTCTGTTTAGTCTGCTGCCCCAAAATGCTCCCTATTCTCATCATTCATCTCAAAGATTTTATTTCTTTTGGGCAACGGGCAGCCGGAAAGGTTCCTGCCACCGGCTAACCACATCTACCCCTGTCCAAGCTCCAGCAGCCTCTGCAGCAGCCCCCAAAAACTCGCTTTGAGCTCCCTCTGCTGCCGACCGTTCAGCAGAAAACCTTTCCAGCGCAGTCGTGGCCCCAGCAGCAACACTTCTCTGTGATCGTCCTGCTCAGGGATTGCTTGTCACTTGGCTGTTGACAGGCGATGCGGAAGGCGTGAAGCCCCTGCAGAGATTATCACGCCGTAATCTGTCCCACAGGCCCCCGTTCTGCAGACATCAATGCTCAGTGTTAGGTGCCTGCCCTGGATGGAGCAGTCGCTGTCACGGGCCGTGGTGGCTGGACTGACCCACAGCCCACCTGCATCGCCCTCTCCCGATCGCCGCCACGCCACGGAAAATGCATTAAGAAGCATCAAGGCGCGGCAGCAAAGTTTACAGCGCCCGAACGGCGGAGGCGCGGCCGGTGCGGCCATGGCTGCTGGCCTCCTCGCTCCCGCGGGCCTGTGCGGGCCGGGGCCGGGACCGGCGGGACCCCGGAGGGGAGTGCAGGCAGGCCCTGGCCCGGCTGCTGGCCCGGTGGGCCCCGGGAAACACCAGGTGCTGCGGGTTGCGGGAGTCAAGGTGGCGGGCGGTGCCGGGAGCGGCTGCAGCCGTCGCCACGGCACTGGGCGGGCGCGGCCCCGGCCCAGGTGCAGCCGTGCAGCGCCGCCCGGCCATTTAGCCTCAGCCCGATAGGGCTGTGGTTGTGTTCGCGCTCCGCTGCCTGGCCTGGTCTGGGTGAGTGGGGCTCTACGGCCCGGCGGAGGCGGGAAGGTCGGGGGACTGCCCGCAGGAAGTTTAGCGCAACTTTCCGCTGAGTGCGCGGGGCGCCGGGGGCGGGTGTCAGGGTTCGCGCGCGCGCGCGCGCGCGCGCGCGCGCGCGCGCGCGCGCGCGCGCGCGCGCGCGCGCGCGCGCGCGCGCGCGCGCGCGCGCGCGCGCGCGCGCGCGCGCGCGCGCGCGCGCGCGCGCGCGCGCGCGCGCACTTTGAGCAGCGCTGAGGTGAGGGGAGAGCGGGCTTCGACGGGCTGGGACACCGCGGGCTGTCCCACTGTGGAGCCCGCAGGTTCCGTGTGGTGCCCGCTGGGCCGGGGCTAGGCCTGCGGGGCCTCTGGCGGGAGGGAAGCAGTGTTGCCGACTCGCCGGTGCCGGCCCCGTTCCGGGGCGCGGTGAGGCTGCTGGGGGGACAGCATCCGCCGCAGTGAGAGCCGCTTCCCACCCTGGGGCTATGAGGCTGTGCCTGAGAAGTGACTGCCGCCCGGCGAGGCGGGTCTCAAGGAGGGGAGAAGCGTTCGGACCGTGATGTGTGCAGGGGCTTTTGGTCCCGCTCCCCGGGGCTTCCAGTCCGCGCTTGGCGGAGCAGCCTGGGGCTGCATCTTTCTCGGAGGTGCTAGCTGTGGCTCTTCTGTGTCTCATAGCTTGAAACAGTGAGAAATGCCTCATAGTGAGGTAAAGATGCTGTTTTAAAGTTGTCACTGTGGTATGTTAGGTATAGTAAAAAACCCCTTCATCACACTGCTTAGTGCACTGATTCTCAGTAACCTTATAGAGAAGGACTGTTTTGTCAACTGGGGTGGAGGGAATAGTTGAAAACTAAGTAAAGTTTGTCTGCTGGTAACGTGACTATGTGCTGTAGAATGCTGGTATTTACTGTTTCTTGTACTGATCTCCCTTTAACTAGATGTATGTCTCTTAAGACCAGCAGAGCAGCAACAGGGAAAATGACAGTTGTGAGGTATGAACAAGGGGCAGAGCTGACAGGAGCATCGAGGTGAGTGAAATGAACTGTACCAGTGTGTGGGTTTGGGATTGAGGTATGCTGTATGTGGTCCCCTACCTAGAGTTTCTTAGTACTTTAACAAAAATAATGGAGTGCTTGAGGCTTATATAGCTTACAGTGTTTGTGTTCTCCCGCCCCAGTGCTGTTGTTTGAGAGGAGTCATATCTTTGAAATGCACTGCTCTGATTGACTTCTTGAGGCAGTTAAAAGGTACAGAGCACCTAGCCCTGATTTAATAAATTTATGGGATTAAAGCTCGCTCACTCACTTCTAGCATCCAGAAACACCGTTGAAGTCTCTTATAGAGCAAGATGCTCTTGTTCTGCTCTCCCTGAAAGCCTCAAGTCTGAAGTTCCCTTTAGCTGTGAACAGTCAGAAAAGCTTATGGTTTGATGGAAAGTGTGTGGGGTAGACACAAGTTATTCTAGTATATCTTTTTTTCTCTTCCACATGATTGTCAAAGACTGGATATAGTAGCTTGTGGTGGAGAGCTTGTTCCAAATTGGACAACAAGTGGATGTAGAGTGCTTAGCAAAACAAACTCCCACTGAGGAAAGCATTATCTAGGACTGAATTCTTGTGTGAGAGCACAATGGAAGCGGCATGCTTGGACTTTGTTCCTGTTTTCTTTTGTGTTAAAGATTGGCTTCCTAACCCAAATGGCTAATGTTGTTCATTCTTGTTTTAATCGCAGTAGAGGATAACAAGGTCGCTTTTGGTGCACTTCATATATCTATAAGGATAAGCAAGCGACTTGCAGCAAACTAGCTGTAGAGCTGTTCATTGAGTGGAACCTACCAAGTAACTGTCCCATAAGAATAGCTGGGAAGCAAAGCTGAGTGGCCGTATATCAGTGGAGTTTTGCTTCAGTTCTAGGAACAAAATGAAGATACTAGTATCTGCAGATGGTGAAGCTGAAAAATAAGGCTTAAATGCCAAAAGTCTTGGGGTGGAATCTTTTCTCTGTTCTGCCTGATATTGAGTGCAACTGGTGAATCATCAGTACTGGTTGCTGAAACTGCATGCTGGTGCATGGGTCCATTGCGGAGGATGAAGATTACTTGGGTCTTCTGAGTTGTTACACCAATGCTTCAAACTAATGCTAGGTTGCCTCAGAACAGCATGGAAACATCAATATTGAGCATGTGTATGTAGTTGCTGCTGCCCAAGAAGCAATGATGTCAGAGACAGAGCCACAGCAAACACTGTGACTGTGCTGTTATACAGCATAATGTTTCTCTGGAGGAGGCTTAATTAGAAACTCCTGGATTTGGATGTTGCTTTCTCTGAGGATATCATGTGGCCTTCAGAGCTTCTCAGGTGGCTGAACAAAAGCCTAATCTAAAGAGAAGATTTTAAGGAAGTTATGGCAAGCAGCCACTACCACCAAAAAGTGCTGTTCTAGCACTAGCTCAGCTGCTGCTCTGGTCTTCCAGTTTCCGGTCTGGTATCCTGCTCTGCACAAAAACATCTCTGTGCTATGGCTGTTCCTGGTGAAAACATTTGTTCTCTGAACAAGTAGTGTACTGTAATAGCATTAATGTAATTTGGACTCTCAGAAGCAACTTTGCATGTATATATGTGTGTGTGTATATGTTTCCTACCAGAGTCTGGATTGTTAAATCCTCAGCAGGCTCTTGGGATGCTGAACTCCAAAACCCTTAATCCTATTGCTGAACACATATATTCCCTTGCTCCCCCGAAAGAAACTTCTGCAAGATAGATTGCTAATGGAACTAGGTCAGTACAAGCCAAAAGGTTCTGCTGCTCCAATGTAGAAGTATTTCTTCCACTGGTACTATACCTGTACTCTGGCCCAGTCTGCTCCTCACTGATTAGCTGACAGTTAATCTTTTCTCTGGAACAATGAAGGATAGCAATATATAAAGTTGACTTCCCTATCGATATGTGACTTGTGTTATTCCTTTGCCAGCTCTCCAACAGCAGAAGAGCCCACAGTAAAGATTGATGATGGCCATGATGAGGATAACAGACCAGATAGCTGTTCCAAGTAAGCTAATAATATACTAAATGCCTAGTGTATCCCTAAAGTGGAAATTGTTGAGCCAAAGTAAGCAGGCAGGTGGCTTGCTGAAGTAGTGATAAGCCCAGTGAATCACTTGATATTGGCATTTGCTTTAGTATATAATGAAGACAAGTAAGTTCAGAAGCTTCTTTATGCCTCTAGAGATGAAAGCCCAACCTAAGAACTAGCTACAAGCCCATCATATTATGTAGAATGGGGAGTCCAAACTACTTTAAGCTTTCCCAAAAGAATGATTTTTGGGAGAGCACAGAAGAACAAATGCTGGCAAGAAAATAAGATGAATGAGTATCTGAGGTGAATAAGCATCATGCCATAAAGACTAAAATGTCTGAACTTGCTAGTGGTTAACTGTTCTTGAAGTAGTTATTTTCTAGTGGTGTTTAGCTCTTGTCACCAGATTACTAACTCCTATAGCATGCTTAGTTAAGTCACTGATATATATTGACTTGTTTCTCTGCAGCTCAAGAACAGTAAGACTAAGCCTGTTATCTCAGGTCTTCAATGTGACAACATGTCTGTGTAGAATTTGGGAGCTGACATTTACAAATGTGTTTTACAAAAACCTTTAGCTAAGGACATGAGCGAATGTGCTACATCTCAACTGATGTAAGATGCTGGCAGGCCGAATTGGAGTGGTGTGTATGTATTTCAGTCTTTAGTGTACCTAATAAAGGTACCTGTCCTTAGGCTGTGGAATTTGGAGTCTAGGTGTACCTGTTCTGTTTGCATTGCAGGATTGACTGGGACAAGAGAACAACAAACTGCTAGCGCTGCAATAATTACACTTCCTCAGATACTAGGCATTCATAAATGCAAGGAGAAGCCCCTGTATACTAGGTTGCCTTCAAGACAAGACTTGTTATTGCATCCTTGACTTCTGTGGGGAAAGTGTGTACTACAACTTATATATCCTTCTTCTTAAGGATGCAGGTGTTTGCTTTTTAGATCTTGAACCTAATAATGGTGTGGTTTAATTTGATAAGGCCAGCAAGATGCTTCCTCATCACTTCAGAGATACCTAGCCTTGTCTTAAACTGAGGTGTTAATGATATGCCCAAAGTGAAATGCAATGCTCAAGTTACCCTAGAGGAAAAGAGTAGCTTGGACAGGGTCACTGGGGTGCAATATGCATTACTGAGCTGACAAAGGCTTCCTGTAACAGTGGTATCTGGGGAGAGGAAATGTAGTAGCTGTATATAACAGGGAAGATAAGATAAATATGCAAACAAAAGTATCTACTGGTACTTTTTGTCAGTATGTCAGAACTTCTGGTAGGTTCTATTGTTAGTGGTATACTTGGACAACGTGTTTTCTTATAAGTGTCTAAGAAAAGACTATACTTACAGTAGTTAAGTAGTCTTGGGATTACTTAACAGACTGGTAATCTGTTTTTCAAACTGTTGGAACTTGGCATTTGCAGGTAGTTGCTTCTACCTTAGTTCTTGGTGTAGCCTAAGGAGACTTTCAGCTAGTAAGACAATTACACAAAAGCCTGGCTTTAAACCAGAAGGCGAAAAGCAACACATGATAATCTGTAGCTGAAAACAGAGGTGGAACCCTACTAGGGCTGGAGATAACTCTCAGTATTGCAAGAATTTAGCTTCAGCTCATTTTCTTAAAAGGCACTAAAGACCTCGATCTGAAAGCCAAATTGGTATTTCCTTCTAATGGTAGAAGAGGTATTTTTCTTCCTCTATTCCAAGAGCACTAAAGCAGTACCAGAGCTATTAACAAGTGCAGTTTTTTCCAGGTCTAGAAAAAAAAGAAATGTCTGATATGATAAGCTAATATCTTGAATAACATGACACCTTAAAAGTTGTTTATCCTTTAATCTTCCTCTTGACCAATAGCTGTTACATAAGCCCACTTCTTAATGCCCAGTTATAAGCTTTAAGCCAGACTTCTAGTGTCATTGGAATTATGACACTGAGTAGTGTTATGCATAAGTGCATACTATCAGGCTTTTAGGGGCTGATGAGTATTGATGAGCACTTTTTCTATGAAGTGGTCAAAGCATTGCTTTCAAGTACTGTCTTAACCTATATTCTTCATGAATAAAACTGGATAATTGCTTTTAAAGAAAGCACTGCTATACAAAATTCTAAACTGAAAAGAATGTGAACAAAAGAATGTTAACAGTGCTTTTGTGGCTAACATCAATAGCAAAATGTCACTTGATTTGATGCAACTTCTCTTCTCTTGCAGTGCACTTAGGAGAAAAATTTCCCCATTTGTGATGTCATTTGGATTCAGGTAAAAGCTCATGCCCGTGATCATATGGGCAAGACTGAAACAGTCCTTATTTCTGGTGTGAGAACTTGGAAAATTCCTTGAGCAACAGTGGCTCCAGCCTGCTCTGTATGAAAAATACTGAATCCTATCACCCCCAGAAAGGATGACTTGAGAAAAGTACTTTGACTGGCAAAGAAACCTTAAACAGCTGGGGCTATGTTCTCCAACTGGAGCTGGAAGTCAGAACTGTAAATGCCGTTGACCTGGATAAAAGCTTTTTAATGACTTACTCCAGGCTGTGACAGCCTTTGAACAACCAGCTGGTCAGTTGTATGCAATCTAGGTGCTGGAACAAGGTAAGCTGTTACAGTCAGTATAGCCCCTTAAAAGTAACTGTCTTTATCATGACTATAGTAAGTTAGGAGTGTGAGAGGAAAGTGAGTAAGCTGGAAGACAGCACTGACACCTGTGTGCCTTAAAGCATTCCAGATCTTCAGCACTTCTAGGTAGCTGTGGAATTATAGGAAAACACAGCTGAGTCTGCGTTAAATATACAGTTCCACATGTATTATATACTCTATGCAGATCACTTAAATGCAGTTGGAATCCTGCTTATATAAGCATGCTTCAATCCTGTATATAAAAGACATGCTTTGCTGGAACAGGTTAAAACAAAAATCTGGGCTTATGCTTTTTGGTCAAATGTCAGAAATTCATTCCTACCTCTTGAGCTCACTAATATCTTTCTTTTTGCAGAGTATTTGGAGTTGTGCTTATTGTTGTGGACATTATAGTTGTAATTCTGGATCTGGCTATTGGTGAGAAGAAGGGTGTTAGAGAGATACTTGAAGGTGTTTCCCTGGCAATAGCACTCTTCTTCCTCGTTGATGTTCTCCTGAGAGTATTTGTTGAAGGGTAAGACACAAGCAAATGCTGAGTTGGTGCGGCAAGTCCTCAAGCTAGTAAGGAAGCAAAGGATCACAAACAATGCCCCCATCTCTTCTTGGTTGTGTGTGTTGTCTGTTACTCTTCTATAGAATAATTGTAGAATCATAGAATAGTTAGGGTTGGAAAGGACCTTAAGATCATTAAGTTCCAACCCACCTGCCATGGGCAGGGACACCTCACACTAAACCGTGTCACTTAAGGCTCTGTCCAGCCTGGCCTTGAACACTGCCAGGGATGGAGCATTCACAACTTCCCTGGGCAACCCATTCTGGTGTAATAATCTGTGAAATGTTTGGGGTATAAATAAGCACTTCAATTCTATCAGCTTTGCTATGACTGATACATGTAGACTAGGTGTATGATTATTTTCGTAGTGAGTCTTCGGTGCTCAGTATCAAGAACTACTTCAGGAGAACTTGTCTCTAGCAGTACCTATGTGTAGGTGATTCTCTTCCTGAAGATGTATTTCAGTATTTGTTATCCATATGGACATCTCTCTAAAACTCTTTTGTTTCAGCTTCAGGAACTATTTCTGGTCCAAACTGAATATTTTGGATGCATTCATAGTGGTGGGCACTCTGTTAATCAACATGACATACTCCTTCTCGGGTCTTGCTGCAGCAGATCAGATACCAAGGTAAGAGTGGTATGGCAGTTGTTAAACATGAGCTTTCTTCATAGTCTTCTAAGAATTTTCTTGGGCACCTCTAAGCTAGATGTGTGCATTCTAGATCATGAATAGTGATAGTATTTCATGGTACAGACTATTGAATAATAGAGACATTTAATTTTGGTCTACAGTTATACTGTACACTGTCCCCATCTCAATGGCAGAGATTATCTAAGCATATCAGTTGAGGTAGCTAAAAGTGAATAGAGAGGCCATCAAATGCTCTGATTCCAACTTCTTGGAGGAAGGTATGCAGCAGTCCTGAGAGAATCTGAAGGTCAGAAACATGAGTTGGGTTATAATAGCAAATGCAACAGACAGCTGAAGGAGGATCTCCATCTAGTGGATCTTGACAGTGTGGCAGCTCTTTCTATTTCTTGTTTCCTCCACCTTGCTTTTCCAAAAGCCCCATAGTAGTACATATTGGCTTTTTCAGCTGTGTCTTGGAGAGGGGAAATATGCTGATTATGTGTGTAAATTAATTCAAGTAATATTTTCATCTTTCTTCTGTAGCTTGATCAGATGATAATCTGTGAGAGGAGTCCATTTGTGCATGAGATCTTCCCACCTAACACTTCAGTAGTGTCCAGTAATTCAACTAATTTCCAGTAGCCTACCTGGGATTTACCCCTTTCTTTCTTCATAACTATTCCTCAAGAAGCAAACAGCAGTCTTAGAGCACCTGATACATCTCAGAATAATTAGAATTTGAGCAGCTTTTATGTGGATAAGAGTATATATGTGACAAGTAAAAATTCAGTGGCAGGCCATAAAGGTAACATGCCCTGATGAAGGAATATGGTCTCTTACTTCTAATCTTGTCTAGCTGGGTGTGCATTGGGGTAAGTTACCCATTTCCTTGAAGTCTGACTTGTAAATAAGAACATCGGGGAATGAGAGCGGGGTCTAGGAGCTAATGCCTAATGTCTAATTTCCTAAAGGGCAGAATGCAAACTGCTTTAATCTTTAAGAGATACTTCTCAGATGTAGTTCAGGCTGGGGAGAGGGGCTTTGCAGTCTTCAATCCACTGTTGTTTCATCTCCTTGGCTTCCAGCTTCTTGGCTGCTAGCTCCAAGGGAGCTCTGTTTGAAACCAGCAGAGTTATCCTGGGCTAGGAAGAAGCTTTGGGGAAAAAAAAATGAAACTCTCCTCTTGGTGTCCAGGACAGCCTTGTTTTGCTGACTTTAATCTCTCCATCAGTGGAGAGCAGACTGTCTTTAACTAGAGGTTTGTCTCTTACTGCAGGTATTCACCAGGGTTCTTAACTAAGTGCATCAGGATCTGAAATAAGTGTGTGTGCTCCTTAAAAGCATGTGCTCACTTAACTCCTTCAGAAGTGAATGTTAGTTTTCCATAGTCCCTAAGGGTATGTGAAAGCAGCTGGCCCTGTTCAGTTGCTTTGGTAGAACCACTCACATAAGCATTTTGCCTGCTTCAAAGTTCAACGGCAGTTCAAGGTTTCTCAAACCAAATCATCAGCTCTAGTTGCTGAATGATTAAACATGGGGTTTATACTGATCTGTCCTCAGGTTTCTTAAGGCATGACCTTGTCTAGCTTCTCTTTTCAGCTATTTTCAGGTGGTTACTTATGTTTAAATATGTAGCTGAACAAGCTTCAAGGAACAAGAATTTGGGGTTGTCATAGGTAGTGTTACAGGAATTTGTTTCTCTGCAGAGTTGCCTATGAAAGTCTGAGCAAGTAGGGATTTCCTAGTTCTGTTTCCTAGTTCCTAGTTAGCTGTTCAGAACATGTACTCCCCCCAAAAACTCAACAATTAAACATGGTATTCTTCAAGCACAGTGTTCTTTCTCCAAAATGAGCCTGAGAAGTCCTGGTTAAGTATATGAACAAAGCTTTAAACTCTGAGGGAGCTTTTAAATAGCTTTAAGCTTTGCATTTAAGTTTAATTGTGTTAATTTTCTTTTGTGGTGAATCTGACTCTAATCTAGAATGGTCACTCTCTTCCGAGTTCTGAGGATTGTCATCTTGATAAGAATATTTCGCCTGGCTTCACAAAAGAAGCAACTTGAAGTGGTGACCAGGAGAATGGTAAGTTGGCCTCTTGCTATATCTAGGCTGCTATTACTGTTTCCAGCACTTTCTCCACATAGCCACCAGTAGCAGCAAGACTACCCACAGCCTGTTGGTCTTCAACTCAATAATAGTGCCTAAGCAGCACATCTGTTTAGTGTGCATGCCAGGGTACTGGAGCTTTGCCTCCAGCTTCAGCATAGCTAATCATTCTTAGCTTTGCTCAAGTAAGCAGCAACTTGACCTGAAAGGCCAACATACTGAAGTGATTGCACCATCAAGTGTCTCAATTAGTAATTTCTAATTTGTGTGGTACATAGACTGTTTTCCCTCCTATAGAGGAGGATAGGAATTTTAATGCTTCACTGCTTATTCCAGGTGAAGACAAAACAGCTTAGCTGTTGAAGCCATATCTGCTGTAAATGCCTCTTATCTTTATCAGGGAACTAAAGTGGTAGTTGAAGCTTTAAGTATGTCCTCTTGCTCAGGAATAGGCAGTCTTGGTTATGCTGCCCTTAACTTTCTTCTTCCTTCCCTCAGCCCCCAAACACTCAAATAGTGATGATGGATTCATAACTGCAGCATTCTTTACACTAGAATGAACTTTGATACTTCAGAATAAAAATTCTGTACAGAGCTTCTATGTGAAGCTAATATAAGAAACATTCTTGGTTAATGCTGTGAACTTTGCTGTAGCAAAATCGGGCTCTGCTACTGACTTGACTTCAGAGTCTAGATGGTTGGTTTAGTTCCTGGTAACAGGCAACACTTGCTGATCTCTGGCATTTCTCTGGAAGATTAACTTTTCTTTCTTTGGCAGGTCTCTGAAAACAAAAGGCGTTATATGAAAGATGGCTTTGATCTGGATCTCACTTATGTTACTGGTTTGTGGAAACAAATGAAACTTGGAAGCATGTTACATCCTGCTAAAACTAGTTATTGGGTTTATCTAAAACATTGCCTGTATTTCATGTAAAGCACTAATGAAAATTAAGTATGAAATCAAACCAGGCTTATTCCTTTTCTGTGGGATTTTGAAATATGGATTCCTGACTCTGACCCTGTTCTCAAAGATTAACCTTCCAGGAGAGAGGTCATATGTGCTGTATGTATTGATAGAAATTCTCCTGAGGCCTAGTGAACCAGAGCTGAGAAACTGACTTACTTTTTTTTTTTTTGATTCTGTGGAGATTGATGCATAATAGTAGTTGGTGCTTTGGGGAGCAATTATTGCCCTGCTCTAGCTATGCTAAATGTAGAGCAAAGGCTCTTGGAAATGAGTAGGTTGTTCTTATAATTAGGGTAGGAGTAAGCAGTTTCATAATGATACTGCTCTCAGTCATGTCGTTCTTACATATGGGGAGACTTTCCCTGTTACTTCAGCTTGCTGTCTTTTCCTCAGATCGCATTATTGCAATGTCGTTTCCATCTTCTGGGAAGCAGTCTTTCTATAGGAACCCTATAGAGGTAAAAATCTCTCATTTACCAAGTTCACTATTTCTGAATGATTTTTTCACTTCTGGGTTCCTACTAATTTGCATGTGGACTAGATAAGTCAATCCTAGTTCTGCTGGTTTGGCTGGTTGGAATGACCAAGTGATAGTCTCCACTGTGCTGTACTGCCTGTGTTGTAGTCTCTCAGCTGAGTCTAGTGGGATGTATCTCACAGTGTGGACACATTGGTGTTCTGAAGCTCCTGTTCTTTAGGAGTGCTTCAGAGAACCAAGTCAGTTCTGTCCTAGGCTAGTAGTAGTGTGATTGATAAGAAATATCTGTTCATCTAAATGAAGATGTTTAAAAGGTCTATATAATGCTCTTTTCAGAGCTATGGCAGCTGATATTGTAGAGACCTAAATATGTAGGGCAGAGAAGATGCAGTAGTACTTTTATTCCAGGCAAGAACCCAAGTTGTTTGGCTGGAAAGGCCTGCTGTCCAAAGGCTATTTATGAATGCAGTTGCTGACCTGTGCAGGTTAGTGGTTGAGGCAGCAGTGCAAATACAGAGTAGAGACCTAACTACTCTGAACTCTTGTTGCTTTAGGAAGTTGCAAGATTTTTGGACACCAAACATGCAGACCACTATAAAGTCTACAATCTTTGCAGTAAGTATACTTAGCTGCTGACTACACTGAAATACAGCTAAAACAGAAAAACATCTCTTCAAAGTATGCTGCTGGCAATAACAGGTCTCTCAGAATATATAATCTGTCAAAAGGACATAGCTGTCTCTAATTACCGTCTGTCCTGAAAGTGGCTGTTGACTTTGAGTATCTAATGCTGTCCTGGAATTTGCAAAAGAGGTACCGAAGGCCTTGCAGTTTAGGCTTCCTTGCTTATGCTGAATTATTGCCTTAGTGTTCTAAAACATTTTATTGAAAAATGAAAGTGGAAAACTAAACCTGGGATAAAAGTTGGGGTGATGTTGGAGAATTTCCTAACAAAGGTTTAGAAGAATGAAGTGGAGGAATAGTTAAATGCTCTTCTACTTAGAGGTGGCTAAAAATACCCCAGAAAAGTACTTCAGAAACCACTATCCTGTGGTTCCTGCTTCATAGCAGAGCTGGAAGCAGGGTATGATGAAGGAGTACTGACACTTGAAATCCTGAAAAAGCAAAATTGTCCTCCGGCCAGCAGAAGGATAAATAGGGATCACATATGAGCCATTAGGGTTACCACTCTAGCTGGTGGCTGCTGTGGTTGACATCCCTGCCATGGGCAGGGACAGCTCACACTAACCCACTAAACCACGCCACCCAAGGCTTCATCCAGCCTGGCCTTGAACACTGCCAGAGATGGGGCATTCACAACCTCCCTGAGCAACCCATTTTAGTGCCTCATCACCCTAACAGGAAAGAACTTCTTCCTTATATCCAATCTAAACTTCCCCTGGTTTTAATCTGAACCCATTACCCCTTGTCCTATCACTACGTGGCAGGGATGTTGGAACTAGATGATCTTAAGGTCCTTTCCAACCCTAACTATTCTATTCTATGGTAGTACATCAGAACACTGTCAGATAACATAATAATCCCTATGGAAAGGAATGGCCATCTGGATGTGGAGATGAATTTTAGCTTAGGTGAGAGGTGTGAAACTAGAAGCTAAGCAAGCATGGCTTTAGCTAATTTACCTCTTTTTTTCCACTTTGATCTGTCTGTCTGTACTACTGCACTTTAAACACTAGCATATCCTCAGGTGAGCAGCTGTGTGTCCCAAGCCACTTTATTTGTAATCCTACTTCCCTTCCTGGCATAACTTCAGATTTTTCTTTGTAGGTGAGAAAGGCTATGATCCCAAGTACTTCCACTACAGGGTAGAAAGGATCTTTATTGATGACCACAATGTCCCAGCACTACAGTGAGTCTTGTCAAGAAATGCATACATCATGGTAGCTCTGTGTAGGCATTTGCTTTGATCTGCTGACTTTCCTCTTATCTAGGGACATGCTGAAATTCACTGCCAGTGTCCGTGAATGGATGAGTCAAGATGAAAAGAACATCATAGCAATTCATTGTAAAGGAGGCAAAGGTAGGACTGCTCATGTATAATTGGTGTGTACTACAAATTACACCTTACTCTTACCATGGCTTCCTTTGATATGTAGCCTTAAACTATAACATGAGATTGGTTTAGAGCATAACTTGACAAATTCTGCAGACGCTGACTAGCAACAGTATAGTACCATATGTTTAGTATCGCACAACCCCATTTCTAGATAACCCAGATTGGCTTTTAATCGAAGGTGGCATCTGATCTCTTAAAATGTTCTTTGGTAACTTCCTGCTGTCCTGGCTGCTGGGACAGCAGTTCCCCAGGAGAGGCTGGGAATAGGGAGCTGCTGGAACGGACACTATCAAAAAGAGTTAAGCTTCTGCTTTGGCTCCCTGGTAGCCAGTTACCCACACTGAATATCCTGCATTGTAATATGCCTCAAGCTTTTTAATTGCTGTGGGGGAGAGAGAGGGAATCATGGGATTGTTCAGGTTAGAAGAGATCTTTAATATCATCCAACTGCCAAGTCCACCACTAAACCATGTCCCCAAGTGCCACATCTACACATTGTTTAAATACTTTCAGGGATGGTGACTCCACTACTTCCCTGGGCAGCCTCTTCCAGTGCTTGACAACCCTTTTGGTGAAGGAATTTTTCCTAATATCCAGTCTAAACCTCTCCAGGCACAACTTGCTGATCAGCATTCCTGCCCAACTTTGTGTTGTCTGCAAACTTAAGTGAGGGTGCACTTGATCCCTTTGTCCAGATCATTGCTAAAGATATTAAACAGAACTGATGTAAAAGATAAAGATATTTATATAACTGATATAAAATATATAAATTTCTTTTATATATCGTATAAAATATGATATTAAACAGGCCCCTATACTGAGTCCTGGGGAAACACCAGTTGTGACCAGATGCCAACTGTATTTAACTCCATTCACCAACACCCTTTGGGCCTGGCCATCCAGCTGGTTTTGTTGTTTTTTTGTTGTTTTTTTTTTTACCCAGCACAATACACCTGTCCAAGCCATGACCAGCCAGTTCCTGTGGGAAATGGTGTCAAAGCCTTTGCTAAAGTCTAGGCAGACAACATCCACAGGCTTTCTCTCATCTGCTGTAAGTGGGTCACCTTGTCATAGAAGGAGATTTAGGTTAGTCAAGTAGGACCTGCCTTTCTTAAACCCACACTGACTGGGACTGATGTCCTGTACATACTGTATACAGAATGGGTTGTCCTGTACAAGCTGGTGGTGGCACTCAAGATTAAATGCTCCTTAACTTCTCCCTGGGTGTTTTAGGTACTGCTGGGCCTGAAGTCAAGGTACACAATGTTATGTGATAGGGCAATGTGATCTTATGGGAGCAAGATAGTCAAAGTTACTGCATATGAGCTGACCTGTGGGTGCTGTCTGCTACCTGTGGTAGTGCAGGAGCTGTTGAAGTGCATAGATAGCTGTGCAAATAAATCAGACTTCCCTGCAAACATCTGCTGCATCTTTAGCCACCTGCTGTTATTACTGCAAGTACTTGGCTTAAACCAGTGGTTACTTAACATGAAGTCTCCCCCAGTCTGAACAGTAGCTTAAAGGTTTTGCAAAACTCAATACTGAAACTACCTGCAGGCTAAAGCCAGTTTGAAGAACAAGTGTAGGGAGGGGTGACTTGAACTCTGAGCTTTTTTTGTTTTTAAACTCAAAGCTGAGACAATATAGGAATGTTGTGCTAGCAGTCTTGATGCCGCCTTAGTGAGGTTGGAGGTGGAAAAGTTGGGGCAGAGAAGCAGCTCTTGACTTAAAGACTGGCACTTGACAATGCTATAACCTCATCTAGCAGGGTGTACTTAACACTCCCCCCATTGCATGGAGTATGAGATAGTGGCCAGCTTCCTAAGTGTCTCTAGTAACATTACAAAGAAATGTGGGCACTGCTTTTAATAAACAAGTCAACAAACTGCAGTATCTTGTCTTAACTCATTCATTCTGGAAATACAGGTACTTGACTACTCTGCTGTCACTTAAAACTTCTGAAATGGAGAGAATGGAATAATTTCATCTTCACAAAATCTCAAATACCTTTGAACTCCTGTAGATCACTCTGTCTCTTATTTCTAACGCAGGGAGGACTGGAACAATGGTTTGTACCTGGCTCATAGACAGTGACCAGTTTGAGAGTGCAAAGGTAAAAAATGGTGGGGTTTTTTTGATTCTTTTAGTATTCAGAGTTCTTTAGAATCTACTTAATTGGTGAAATGAAATGCATCAATACTTCGCAAGAGCTCCATACTGGAAAAAGGACACTGAACTGATGCTTTGTTGTTTATAACAGAGTTCTTTGTTCTTTTTCAAAATAAAGTTCTTGCAAATCTTACTACTAGGTAAGTTCCTTTCTGACGAAGACTATTGTTGATCAGGAAGAATAGAGAAAGTAAAACTGAACAGATACCAACTCTGAAGCATTCTTTTTGGAGGCATAATAGATATAGGATTTCAGGCAATACCTTTCTTGAACTGTAGGTGGCTTCTGAGCATGCTCTACTAGAGATAACATTGTTTTTAAGTGGTCTCCAAGTAGTGTGAGGCATCAAGAATTGTCTTGACTGCCAGTGTTACAGCAAGAAGCCCTTCTGGGAAAAGGGAGAAAGAGCAAGTCCCAGCCAGGACAGATGCATGTGCTGTTTTAGCTTCCCAGATCCAGTATACCAATCTGGAGACATGGTCTGCAGAAGGCCCAGGTCACTCAAAGTAGTCTGGGCTGACTGTGGATCCATTTAATCACTTGTTTTTTCTCAGTTTGCTTTGTGAAGATCTGAATTAAGATCAGCTTGATCTGCCGCAGACCACTTGAATACGTGTGGTTCTAAAGCAACTGCTTAGAAAGCATATTGTTCTCCTTCACTCTTTCATGGATGGCAGACTTTATCTGACTTCCTAATTAGTACTTTTTTTATTCTAGTTAAAAGCCTCCTTCAGAAGGTACCAAAACAACTATTGCATATTTTTACTTGCACTCCCTTATTGGAATTGACTAATGGAATTCTAGTTTACTGCCCTCCCTTCAGTAAAGGGGAATGGTGGTGGGATAAATATATTAACACTTGAAGTTATTTTCCTATGTAGGAAAGTTTGGACTACTTTGGGGAGAGAAGAACTGATAGAAGCACAAGTACCAAGTTTCAAGGAGTTGAAACTCCATCCCAGGTAAGCTTCAGCAGGTCCAGTAACAGTAGCCAAACCAACATTACTCTTGCAACTGCTTATGCTACCCTGCCTCCTCTGCCTTGTTTCAGATGTGGGTTCCTACATGCCGAACTCCTGAACTTTCTGTATTTGTTCTTTAAAGGTTGGAAGACCATCTAGTGGCAGGGTTGTGCTGCATTGTCCCCTCCCTCCCTCACTTTGTCCAAGTACATCCCTTATGCCTTTCTCTGCATAATAACAAATCTGAATTATGTTATTTAAGATAACAGAATTGGTGAGATAAGGGGAGCTTTCAGTCCAACCCCACTGTTCAAGCAGGGTGAGCTAGAGTAGGTTGCTTAGGGCTGTGTTCAGCCAGGTCTACATTACCTTCCCAGATGGGGACTCCACAACCTCTCTGAGCATCCTGACAGGAGCATGATCCTGTAAGACAGTTGGGCTGTTATCAAGGATGCACTGAAGCCTGCAGCCTGGCCTGGGGAAGGGCTGTGGCACTGATGTGCCTGGGTGGAGAACTGCATACTATAGAGACTGCATTTACAAGGAAATACTAGAGTTATTGCCTCAGACCACAGTTTAGGGCTTTGCTCATTCTGATTTACTGTGTACTGTGGGGTTCAGAGGTGCGAGATGAAGCTGGTGACAGAGGTACATCAGTTGCTGGTATAAAATAGAATAGAGATACAGCTGTCCTACAGAATGTGTTTCTGTAAAATGAAAGCATCTTGTACATTTAAACATCCTGCCCCTTAAAAAGCTACAATAAAAAAAGCTCCTCACTTCTTGCTGAACAGAAGTACAGAATTCCTCTTGGAACATGAAGTTTAAATATTGCTTAAAATGTAGATACTGGATTTGTCTAGAAGATTATTTGAACTGGGGAGGGGAAGGAGAACAAATGGCTACTTTTCTCTCAGCTTTGCACTTAGAGCTAAGAATTTAGGATTAAGTAGATCTTCTACTCTTCTTTTGCCTAGAATTAATCTGTGTGGGTTACAGAAACTGCATAATTTGTCTGGGTTTTTGCATTACAGAGTAGGTATGTTGGGTATTATGAGATCCTGAAAAACAAGTATAACTTGAAACTCCCACCAGAGAGACAACTCAAAATAAAAAACCTCAAAATCCACTCTATACATGGTAAGAACTCTTGAATTTGGGCATTCCTCTATCCTACTCCTATAATAGGCAGCTGATGTCTACTGTCTGTCTTGCAAAGACCATGATAGGAATGTAGATTTACTGGGATTTGAGAATTCCAATGGCACAGTTAAAATACAACGAAAAGCAACAGTGAAATTGCCCCATGTGTTCTGTCACTTGTTGGGTGTCTAGTCCAATGGTGGCTCACATACAACCTGCTCTGTTTTGTAAGGGAAATCACTTTCCAAGGGAGATTAACTCCACATGTGGAACTTGATCCCTACTGTTTCTGCACACAGGTACTGGTAGTCTTGATAAAAGATTGTTCTAAGGGGCTACGTGGTCTTGGGGACTTCAAACTGATGTTCTTGTTCAGTCGGTGGAACCAGACTCTCCATTAGACTGTTCCTGCTTCGTATCTGCTTTGAAATACAGCTTCCAGCCACTGAATCTTGAGCTACCTTTAGGATTTGAGTTCTCAAGTCTATTACAATGTATTCTGGAAAGAAGGCACTTTTGAATAGTATTTCACTTGGTTTTCATGACCACTTATGTTTCCAGCTAATGTATGTGCTCTGGTATAATGCAACTCTTTCTTTCCTAGGAGTTGGGAAAGGCAATGGAACTGATATGAAGGTGCAGGTGATAGTGAGGAAGCAAGTTGTACTAGAGTGTATATGTGCCAGTCAAGGAAACTGCAAGGTGAGCACTATGAAATCATGTCAGTTGAGTCACAGAAGATGAAAGCTGACTTAGAGGTCAAAAGTGTCTTCCTGTAAAAGTTGAATATTGGATGTAAAACTGTCAGATTAAATGGATGTTGTAAATTCTGAGAGGATGAAAACGCTAAGCTTTGCTAAATCACTATCTTACAACTACTTTCCTACAAAAGATTTCCCTAGAAGTCACTTAAATGCAAATAGCTTGCTCTAAGTAGCTTAAATTGTTGGCTTTTACTGTAGCACTGCTATTGTGTTTGTAAGCCATGAATGAGTAGCAAGGTACTGCCATGAATTGGTCCCTTGTCTCTCTGCAGCCATTTTTCATAAAACTAACACTTCATTCTGTTATCCAGCTCTTCTTTGATGCTGAAAATGACTCTGTAGTCATTGGCTTGGAGGACAGCCCTGTCATAAGTGGTGATGTGAAAGTCAGATTTGAATCACATTCAGTAAGTATAACAGTGTAAAGATCTTTGCTTGAGTATGAGGAAAGGCTGTGGTTTGCACTGCAGCTGGGTGCTGGCTGTGCTGTGTGGGGCAGGATCTGTGCTCCTCCCCAGTGACTCCTGCTCCTCCCCTGGCCCCACTGCAGTGAGTGGTGCAACAGTTGTTGCTGCATCATCCTATGCAGGCAGGGGAGACATCTGGCTGTTCATATAGTACAACCAAGACATGTTAGTTGAGCACCTTCCACTAGACCAGATTGTCCAAAGCCCTGTCCAGCCTGGCCTTGAACACTGGCAGGGATGGGGCAGCCACAGCTTCTCTGAGCAACCTGTGCCACTGCCTCACCACCTCTGTGGTGACGAATTCTTTCCTAATATCTAATCTAAGTCTCTCCTCTTTCAGTTTAAAGCAGTTCCCCTTGTCCTGTCCCTACATGTTCTTGTAAAAAGTTTCCCTCCGGATTTCTTGTAGGCCTCCTTCAGAGAAAACAGTGACCTGGGTGTGATGTTGGGCTCTTCAGGGGTACTGGCCCTGGCACTTTAGCTTTGTAAACTAAATTACTGAGGATGGGTGGGTACTCTTGCTCTGCCAAAAAGTCCTATTGTCTAACAGAGTCTGTCCTTAGGATCTCCCAAAAGGCTATGATGACTGCCCATTCTTCTTCTGGTTCAACACTTCCTTTATTGAAAATAACAGGTAAGCAATCGTAGTGACTGCCTTGAGATCCTAACTTTTAGTGTCTGAATATAGCTAAAAGTTCATAAGTACAGTACTAATAGCTGAGATAGCTTGGCTTGTCCAGCCTGTCGTAGCTTCTGTGTGGGTACTGGTCTCCAGCTCTCAGCTGGAACTGGAGAGCAGGCAGTTGGTACATAATTGCTTGCACTGTGGCAAGTATTTTAAACATGTGATATCTTAATCAACTTAATCCATTAGACTTTCCTCAACATTCCATTATTAATGAACTTGAATTCGAAAAGGTAATGCTGACTTTCAAACCAAAGGCAACTTGGCCATTCTCTGTAGCATGGCTGCCTGAGAGGCTGGAACTCATTCAGCAGCTTGGCAGGCAAACATTAGGACCAGAGTTAGAGGTACTGATGCTTGGGATTCCAAAGAAAGGCTCTTTGACTGCTTCTCATGCTTTTATTAGGAATTACTGTGGTTGCTCTTGTTGAGATTGGAACTCCTGGGGGTGCTCCAGCCAGTGCAAGTTGGTCTTGTCTGCCTCTCTAGGGAAGCGATGAAACAGAAGGCAGAGACAGGAGATCCTTCTCTTCTGTTTACCAAACTAGCCAGATTTAGACAGAGGAACAGCAAACTTCACATAAAGATAATTACTGTGTTCTCCGTAATAGGAAGAGGAAGGAAGGAAGTTTAATTTAATTGATCCCATCAGAGCATGAGGAGTGATAGCCATAAGTATGTTCATAACTCCAAACCTAATTTGCTGAGCCAGCATTGTCCTTTCTGCCTGGAGAATTCTGGTAGACCTAAGGTCACTAGGCCTGGTCAGAAATCAAATGGCTGTTAAGGCAGTGCCGCGGTATCTCCAACTCAGCCAGAGCTGATGTGCAGGTGCTATTAAGTAATATTTACCAAATTCATGTCTAGTTATTAAAAGTGGAGAACATGCCTGATGAGCTTGCTGAGTACTGAATTGAATCCTTGCTATTAGGAAGGTCAGTTATTAAATTCCTGCCACATGCATCCCACCAGGAGGCCTCTAGCTGAATGTGGCACAGATGTTACTCTTAACAGTCTTGCTTTGTGGGGCAGAGGAACCTGACCCACAAAGCTGTGAAGCTGTTTCTCAAGCTAGATCAGATCCAAAGCCCTGTGCAGAGGGGCATGGCTTCTGTCTGTCTGAATTAAAGATCTAGGGCTATAGTTAATATTCCAGGGCTGAGCTTGGAGTTCTCTTGGCTGACAAAGGAAAACTGTGGTTTAGGCTGTAAGATGTGCTGCTGAATTTTGTCTTTCAGACTCTACCTTCCCAGGAATGAGCTGGATAACCCTCACAAGTCTAAAACATGGAAAGTCTATACTGAGACATTTGCTGTGGAGGTGAACTTTATTGAACCATAAGGGAAAAAAAAAAAAGACTGAAAAAAGGGAAACATGTAAAATTAATCTCTTTTCCTGGAGAATGTCTTGCTGTTTCAGTATACAATGAAGCAGTTACGTTTTGATGTACTTAATGTATTTCTGTGTAGATACAACTTGTCAAATAAATTTACATGAAGTTCTGTTATGCAGAGCAATAATACTCTGAAGAGTTACTTAGTTTCAGCTGACTGTCGTGCCAATGAGCTTTGGATGCTTTGGTGATTAGGTGTTTCCACATACAGGTAATCCCTTCTTTATTAAGCTGAGACAATTGTCTTCAAGAACATTAACCTGATGGTGGGTGGAGACCAGCAGTCTGCAAGAGGCTGCTGGAAAAATCTGACACACCTTCCTTCAGCATCAGGGTTTTCCACAGGTCATTAGAATATTGGAATCTGAAGGGAGACATTGTCTACCTGTGCCAGTAGAGGTCTTGGTACTGAACCACTTATCAGAAATCCAGTGCTGTAGGGTTTTGAGAAACACTTAGCCTGGGAGCTGACTGGGGGTGGTTTGCTCCTCTGCTGTTTCTCTTCCTTGCAGAGGGCTGAGATGGCCATATGCCCAAACCCTGGATCTCATCAGTTTGTGAGCACAACAATGTGCTCTTCTGTAGAGACTCATCATGTCTTCCTTGAGAAACATGTGTTGAGCTGTTGCTTCTGTAGTTGTCTTATTGTTAGGATCCAAGAGTTATGGGGGGAGGGACATAGCTTTCCATAGCTAATACCTAGTTAATGAAGTAAGATTTCCCTGAATCAGCTGTTGGAAGGTCCCACAGTGTTGGAAGCCGCTGCTTTCAGCACTTCAAGTGTGGAGGCTTGAATGACCAACAGTATTCCACCAACTGTCTGCAGTTCTAGGTGCAGGATAGAGTGAGCCTGTGTGACATGTAGCCCAAGCTCCTTTGCAAAACAGGTCCAGCTAGAGGTGGCTCACAAACCAGTTATGTATATCTCCCTAGATAGGGTTCTTGCAGAAGAATTAATCACTGCTTTTCCTTCCAGACTGGGATTTTGCATGTTGCAGACTGTAGCTGCTGCATCTTGTCCTGCTCTTGTGTATCTCCAGAAGTACCTGGCTCCATCCCCTCCCATGAAGGAGGTGACTGTAGGTGGCAGCAAGAGCTCTCCTCAGCTTTGTTATGGGTTGGCAAACTCGGTCTTCACTATCCATCCTTGTCCTCTGCTTGACTTGCTTCACTATGTCACTGCTCTTCTTGTATTGGGAACATGAGATTGGATACGAGATTCCATGTCTGCTCTGACAGCTGTGATAGGTATGAGCAGAGGGTCAGAACTGATTTGCTGGCTCTGGAGTCTGCTGCTGCAGCTTAGCCTTTGCTGCAAAGGTTCAAATTGTGCAGTGCTGTTCCTCAGACTAGTGTTGCTTAAGAGACTGCAGGTGTTGCACATAAACCTAAGGAACTGCTCCTCAAGGCCAAGGGGTAAGCTGGCAAAGTTAATGTAACCCCCATCTCTGGTATGAGAAAAGGAAGAGATTCCTGCTTACACAGGAGTGACCACAGCTGTATCAGTGGAGGGTGATGGTGCAAGAAGGCAGCCAAGGTCTGCCTGCACTGAATGTACTAGGAGCTGAAAGAGTATGTCATTTTACTGCAGCCAGAACTGGCTGATGATTGAGTTTTTTGGCTTAGCTCAGGCAATTTGATATTGCTGTCCTAGGATGCCCTTTCTGAGAGCTTGTACGGCAGTTAAGGACAGCTGTCTTCCTGCCTATGGAGTAAACTAATCTGTATAGCAGCAGTGAAGGCTGAAACAGCAAGTCAGGTTGCTGTTGATTCCTGTTTAAACAGGAATGAGTAACAAACTGTGTAACATTTTTCCTGAGAACCAAGAACCACTGCTCAGAAGATGGTAATGCTGGCAGGAGACTTAACCTTACAGTGTGTATCATGCCAATCTGCAATCTAAGAACTTGGAAGTTGAGTTGAACCTTAATATTACAACTGACTGGTATTAACAAAGCACTAGGCCAAAAGGTGAACTAGAGGCTTTATTTTCCATAGTAGGTTAAGAAAAATCTGCAGTTGTTTCACAGCACCTTGTTAGAGGTGTGGTTTTAAGGGCTTTTTCCATCCACTGATTGCAAAAGCACTTTGATTCTGGAAGAGTAGTGATACTGACTTCAACCTCTCTTTGCACCTCAGCAAGACAAGCTTGTTAAGCATTGTTGCACAAACAACTGTCAGGCACTCAGTTAATCAAATCAGACTTTATTACCATGAAATCCTGTACCAACATCATGAAGTTCTTAGCTGAACAACTGATACATGTTACAGCTGAAGTAGCTGTGACCAGAAAAATTACTGCTTACATCACCTTCAAACAAGAAACTCAAACTGCCTGTTTATTTCAGCCACGGGCTTCTTCTTGTATGTTCAGTTCTAAATACCCTGCTTCTTTTGAAGCTTCAACTTTTGTATTAAAAACTGCAACCATGAGCTTTAAAAAATGAAAGCAAAGACAAATCTAAGAAATAGATTGAGGTATTCCACTGATCTGGAGTCAGTCCTTGCCTTTTTGTAACTGGCAGAAGCGCATGTAAATCTCTACCCAAGAGAAATAGTACAACTTTGGAAAGGGACAGTCTAGCAACTCTGTTAAAGCCTCATCTTCCTACCTGAATTATCTGAACATTTGGTATAAAGTACTGATGATGCACAGTATCATTCCCCATGTGCACCAGTCAAGCAAGGTAAATTGGTGCAGTAGTCACTGAAGATTCTTCAGCCATGTCCTGCTTTAAAACTGCCTCTTCTCATGGGTGTATGAAAGGGAGATGAACAGTTCCTGCTGCACAGGAAGGCTGGAGAGGCAAGAGTTTCTGGAACTGCAGCACATGCCTTTCATCAAGAAGGCTGTAACAGTGCAGTGTTAAGTGAACCCTGGCTCTACTGCAAGAGGCAGTTGGTACTGAGATGCTTTCATCTGTACCTAAAGCTTTTTCCCATTTCTAGAATCTGAAAGGAGAACTGTAACATGCAGAACTGAGCTGTTAGAGCTGCAGCTGTTGCCAGTCACTGACAAACTCCAGTTGCTGTGACAAGCTGGTACCCTGTGCATACCAAGGATGATCATGATGGGTCAAATGGCTCTGTGTTCTCCACAGGCATAGACTGACACTTAAACCCTACGACCATCCCTCTGTACAACTCCTCAATCCTGAATTGTATTGTTGAGACCTGCTCTGCCTTTGCAGTAGCTGCTTCTTACAAGGCACAGCATGCTTGTATAAAGAGCATCCTCTTTAAAAAAATTAAAGTGGCATCTAGAAATAGGTGTAACATCATTTTGGGTAACACTAACTATGTATTTCACCAAGTAGCATGACCAAGCAGGCATGCCCCCAGGCCTGAAGGTGATATAAGCTATCCAGTCATATGAGCTTTTTCCACTCTGTTGAATAGATAACAGCAAATGGCAGGACTCCAGCCCAAGCAACTGTGTGCTACACCACAGAGACCATAGCATCAGTTGCTTTTAAAAACTCAGTTCTGGCTTCCTGCTCCTCTTTGGCATCCCATCTTCCAAGCACATGGACTCATGCATGTCAAGGTGACTCAGACACGAGCTTGCACAGTTACAATTCTGTGCTCAGAGCCAGCAGCTGTTTCCAGCAGTCTCCCTTAGTTTAAGTGCTCAATTCAGAGGTGCTCAGCATACTCCAGCACTTGAAAGGACTTGAAAAATAATGAGATGCTGCATGAACTCCTTAAATCCAGTAACTACATGTCTTTATCTCAAATGCAGGCAGGTCTCTGACTCTTAAGTCAGATAAGTACAAGGCAGGGCGTGAACACTTCCTACTTCTGTAAGCCCATTTACTTGGACAGAGTACACAGGCAGACACCAACTGCTGTGACCTTGGAAAGTCACAGGGAAGAAGGGCAGGAGTCAAGCTGAGGGATCTGCATAAGTAAGCCATATTCACCAACATTAGATATGACTGCTGTGCTTTAGAGTCAGACACTTGATAGCAACAATGGGAGAATTCACCACCACAGCACAGCCTTAGAAGCAGTGCTTTTGCTTGAATAAGTCACAGCCCACCACTGCATGTTACAGTAAACCCAACAGGAGGTCAACGTAAGTCTTTTTTTTCAGCACCATTACAGGTCAGGAAAATACATTATGACATGTAATGTACCTAAGTGCAGAATCTGCAAGATGGAGATAGTTCTGCTGGGCCAATTCAATCAGAATGTACCTATCTCTATAAAATCACCTGAATTTAAAAGATTACAAATTTTAAACTGCAGCTGAGTTCCTGCTCAGACCATGATGTGATCTACAGGTTTTTGATCCTTTACTTAAGTGATCCTTAAACAGCTTTTCATTTTCCACCTGCTAGAAGGTATCAGTAAGAATCTACTTGTTTCATCATAAGTTTTCGGCTGTACTCATAGGCAAGGAACAGTGCCCCATTGGCCACAAATGCACGGATCATAGTTGGCTTCAGTCCAGAATACAAGGCAAGTACACCTGGAAATGAAATCAGAGCCAGTTAGCAATTTATTTACCTGCCTATCTGCATTAACCACTGCTTGTACCTTCAAAGGATACTGAAGTAATGCTTCTGCCTTTAGGGGCACAGAGTGCTGAACTCACTCGTGTAGCTGCTAACTGCAGCGTTACTGGATATTGATATGCCCAGAGCATCTAGAGTTGTAACATGAGTTTAGCCATTTAAGTGCTTATGTTTGAAGCTCATCTTAGGTATGACAGGGTCTTCAGAAGGCCACCCTGGTCATCTGAGGATATGGGTCGCAGCAGCTACACCACAGCAGGCAAAAGGGAACAGAAAGAACAGCAGGATTATATTGGAGCTGTGCCCCAGGTCAGACTCCTGCTCTGGTGAGTATCTTCCCTAGCAACAGGGCTAGCATTCATATCTGCTGCCACATACATTCTTACACTGTCTTCGGAAGCGCATGGCACGGGTCTTTTCCAGAGATTGGGCACTGAGGTAGATGCCCCAAGTTGCCAGGCTAGATAGGCCTGATTTATCAAACAGCCCTCAGTCAGCCATGTATTAACTTCTAGAGGTGAAAAAAATTTTATTCTGAATTTGAACCAGTCCCTTCAATTTTCATGGACAGGTTTGGTCATGGGGAATAGAGCTCATTCCTTTATCTGCTTTTAATGCCTACTGAGCTTTTGTTAGCTTTAAGTGAATTGTTTCCTGAACCAAGAGGCATGGTCTCAATTTCTAGATTCCAAGCTGTCCAGACTACATAAGGCATCAGTATTTCTGTTAGTTAGAAGTGTCTCCAACACATTATCAGTGGACATTTCTTAAGCAATTTTTTTTGTGTTTGGGGAGGGTAGAGATTTCAATGTGCAGCCCTAGAGATGCAGTTGATATGCTGCATACTCACCTTCAGTTCTCACAACAGTTACAAATGTTCCCATAAAGCCTGTCTGTTTTCCAGCCATTGAAAGAACCTGAATTCTAGATTTGACACAGTCCACAGGATACACAGCAATCCACAGACAGCTGCCTCCAAAACCTCCACTTAGTAGCAGAGGAATGGGACCTAAAGTTAAGAAATACGTTTTATAAACACCACAGAAATATTCACCAACATAAATATCACATTATTTATTTCATCTATAGAAACAGAAGAAAACCTGCTTATCAAAGGAACCTGCTTATCAAAGGAACCGGCTTATGACAAAAGTTTCTGCTCCCCTACAAGCCTTGAAGTTAATCTTAAGCCACTGGTAAGTTGCAAATCTAACTAGAAAGCTCAAAGGTTATAAGGAGTGCTTCTTAGATTACTGGCCATGCTAAATAAGCATAACTTGGAATTCTCTTCTGACTATTAACTAAATTAACTCCTTTCCTTTCACACTTGTAATCACTTTTGAAGGCTAACTGATGTTACTCTAAACTGTTTCACACAAGGTCACTAATCACCTATACAGAGATTTATTGGTACAGTGAAGTTACTTTGTGGCCAGTCATTTTTCATAATGCAACCCTCATTTTGTGTTTCAGACCAGGTATTTGTTTACAACAAGAGAATGTGTGCAGCTGAAATCTTGACTGAAATTTTAACATCAAGACAAAGTATGACTGTTCAGTCTTTCAGCAGGAGACAAACCATCTTTATTCTGGCCTCTCATTTGTTCATGTCTAATTTTCAGTGTTCTCTCACTAGCATTGTCATTACATCTCATGGTCAGCACACATTTCAGCATACAGTTGAACACACCTGATATAGCTAAAGACTTCAGATTCTCTCTAAACAGCCACTGAAATGAAATAGTTCAGAGTTGTGTTACATCAGGGTCAGACATTTAGGTATTTTCATAGTGTTAATGTTAGCTCAGTGTATTTATTCTTCATTTAAAATACTGCTCTGTTGCAAAGTGGTCACTTCAAGAATTCATTACTATATATACACACAAAACGCAGAACTCCATATTTTGGATGCCTAGTTTCCTTCATTTTACTTTATAGCTGCTGTGCCTCATTAGTGTATTTTCAGGGAAGATATGCCCCCCCTCTCCTTTATGTCCCCCACAACAGCATGCTAAAATCCACATGGAAAAAGAGGCACCATACCTAATTCATCTTTTGATCTCCCAGAGGCAAAGAAAGTCCGGCTCAGTTCATACCCTCCAAAGAAGAAGAAATAGCCTGGGACTTCCCGCAGCAAAGTGCTCGACAGGCCACGGTAAAATCCAAGGGGACCATCCTTTTGAATAACACCCTTCACTACTGACCAAACTGTACTGATAGAGAGGTTGATCCAGTTAGTGATGTTTAATAGGCAGATAATGAGAAGGTTACAGAACAACTGGCAACTGCAGTAACAGTTAAGGGTTAGATCCATTGCACAGACACCAGAATTCAGGTAAGACTTAGAACAAGATCCTGCTGGGAGCCCCTCACTGGCATCCAGCTTTACCAATACATGAAAAATCCCCAGGCTGCAACCCTCCCAGGCACAGCTCTTGTCTGGTTAACAGACTTACAAATGTGACCCTGAACCGATACACAAAAATAAAAGATACACATAAAAGGGTTTCAGAGATACTGAATACTTACTTGTAAACAGTATACTTACTTGTGTCCCTGGATTATCTTTCCTGACAACTGCATTTCATGCATGGCCTGCAGCCGGCACTTCACCAGCTCTGTAGGACAGAGGACAAGGGTGGCAAAGGCAGAGGCAAAGGAGCCTGCACCAGCATTCTGCAGATCACTGTGAGAGAGAAACTGCTGAAGTTATTTGGGCACTGACCCCGAGTGCAGTGGAACCACTGCACCTGTGATCAGCTCCCTGAACCTGTACTCTAAATATCAAGACAAACTGACAGTCTTGAGGGAAAGAATCTCCAGGAAGACATCAGTTATCTGAACTAGTCAGATAAAAACCTAGCTCATTTCATCTTCATACACAGCTCAAAGACACTTGAAGATAAGCTCCAACCTTTACCCTTTTTGCTACACTTCAGTGACTGCTGCACAATAAGCGCTATCAAATCTTTGCCTTCTTAGATTTTTATAAATATTTCCATAGACTTGTTTTATTGGACAACTTCTTGGTACTCAAAAAGAACAATAATCACCTCATATAAAGATCAGTGTTTTTAAAGTCACCTTGCCAGTATTAATACAGGTTTTCAGTGGAAGATGCTAGAAATCTGTAAGCAAGACATAAGGGACCACTATAATATTCTATGGATGTGCTGTCATGGACAAAACTACGTGAATCAGAGGCAGCACAAACAAACCACACCACTGAACAAGACAGCACTGTAATCTACACTGACTCACAGTATTCCAAAACTAGGGCTTACTTTGTGGTGAAATCGTCAAGTCTGGGCCGCTAAACTGCCACGACTCAAAGACTCAGACTCGTACTGCTTTATGAGTATGACATAGCTCTAAACAGGCTCCTACAAACACTGGTGTGCTAGACAAGACCTGCACAATAGCACAGAACAAGTGGAGCTTCTCTCTTCTTTCCTGGGGAGTCAGCTGAGCCTGACCTCACTGGGACACAGAAATTCTTTCCATACAAAGGAGATGTTTTCCCTGTGTCCAGCAGTTTCATACATCTGTAGTATTGGAGATTAAAGCTACAGCTTTTTGTCTTACAGAAGCATCACAGAACTAAAGCTGTGACATGAAGCAAAGCTTGTGACATATTCAGATACAGCAGTGACTAGAACTGTCAAAGTGGGAGGAATCAGTAACTGCCTGCAGAGCAGCATCTGAATAATATGCAGTAAATAAGAAATGACAACATTCATTGCATAGCCCTCTTGCAGTATGAGCTTGGCAAAACAGAGATCTGAAATGCAACCCACTAAAGTTCAAGACAAGAGGAATGCAGAGTTAAAAATACAGTATGTGGCTGAGCCCTGCAGTAATTAAGTTATGAGCTAGAGCAAGGCAGTAAGGTTACACTCTGAAAAATAAGGATAAGAAAATATGGAATAGGTACCTTCTAACTATGCACTAAAGAGTGCACAGGATCCTTTGTCCTTCAGGAGAGAAAAAAATCAGATGCTATCAGATGAAAGGAATTCTGTCACATGTACATAAAAGAATAGATTTATCCATAATTCAGATCTTCTCTACTTTTGCCTGTTAATGTTTAGTTCTACATACAAATTCAACTAGATCCACTGTTTAGGCTTTGGTCTTTAATACCATGAACCTCACTGCAGAAATGATAAGCCTTGAATCCTCTTTGAGTTACCTTTCAACTCACAATGCCTAATTCAGTATTTGTTCTGGATGGGAGAGTTTTGATCACACATCACAGGAGCCAGAATTCTGCCCTTACACTGCTGCTGCTTCTATAAAAGGCATTAATCTTGGTGGACTTCTTTTTCCTCCAAAGAAAATTACATGCTGAAGATGACCAGTCATGTACTGAGAAAGTCAGACTGAGGTGAACAAGGATAACAGTTATTCCAGTTCAGATTTTGGCGCAGAATGAGATCAGTTTGGTCAGACTAAATGGGCATTTAAAGACAAATGGATTTTAGCACTTCTCTGGTTATCTCAGTTTAGGCTTTAGCATGGAATTAAATGGTTGGACTAATAGATGTTAAAGATAAAAGGAACTTAGCATTTTTCTCTCCATTTGTTTTCTCTGATTCATGCGTTAGTGGCATTTATTCCCCTAACTTGAAAACGTGTTGTTTTGTAACTGTCCTTGTAACTGCTTGCAAGGCTTCACACACTGACCAGGGTATCCCTAAACACAGGGAGGCCAGGGAAGCTTATTTCCAAGTTGCTTAAAGCTACAACTGAAAAGTGAGCAAAACCAAACTATTATAACTGGATTTGAGACATCTCAAACATTATAAAATAATGGGAAAGTGACAAGGAATTTCTTATATATGGGTAAGAAAAATGGTCAGGTTCACCTCAGTTTGTGACTTGATAGATTTGCTTATTCAGGCGAAGACAGTATGACGTTTTTAAACAGCAGAGGCAATGAAGGCAATTATAGTTATTAACTTCGTGTCTCAAGGTTAGCCACCTCATCAGGGTTTCTTCCCACCCTTACAGCACACTACAAAGACTTTCCAACTCTCCCACAATGAGTATGAATGTCCTGGACAGGCTACATGTAACTCAGGGCGCCACTGCAGGCCATGTCAATACAATTCTCTCACACATGCACCTGTAAGATGTCCCTACAGGTGAAGAGATCAAGGGAACAGCACAAAGGGAGAAATCTTTCAAGTAAGCTTAAACCCTTTAAGTGTTTTGTCCTAGCACAGCCATGCTGTCACACTATTTGCTCTTCAATCAATGATGCATTAAACAGCCATCCTGGATCTGGAAAGTACCACTACCTGACCAAGGAAAGAAGGGTCAGATGTCAGAAGTACTTGCTATTACTACGTACTCAAATTAACTTCCCATTCTGCATCCTACTCCAAAGACACGGAGTAGTACCCATATGCACACTGTTTGAAAGCTTCCTGCGCTACCTCTCCTACATGCACCATAAACATGCTGTCTCAGTCACATCAAGAGATGATCCTAGGACCCCTGCAAACCTGTGGTCTACCTCCCAAAAGGATCGCAAAACATAGTTAAGAAGCAAAGCATGCTGTTGGTAGGCCTGCTTCCTCATTTTAGTGGGTAGAATAAGATAAGGGGTCTGTAAGCTGATCTAAGAAAGTGGAAACAGTTCTGTCTCAGCTGAGATCTCAACTACCAGAAAACAGTGAAAAAGAATGCAAGTAGAAAGCAATTAATATAATTTGTTTCCTCATCACTTCATACTCCCTCATAGTTGGCCTCAGTCTTAAGATACAGCATATCTTAATATGTGACAGAAGAACACCTCACTTAATGCCACTTTAAAATATTTGTCTTGTACCTAGATAGCTACACATATCATGGCAGAGATCTTAAATGGAGAATTAAGGCCTCCTCAGCTACCTCTACTTGGATACATGTGACAGAGGCAGAACACAGCTATTAATAAAAAGCTAAGTGTGGTTAACCTTGCATCACTCTCTGAATGGAGTTAGGACAGTATGAGAAGTCTTTTATACATTGTGGAACAGCACAAGGATGGAGGAGGTGCAGATACTCTCAGTGCTGCACAGACGATATACCTTGAGAAATGGGCAACAGTAAGGCACACAGACTGCTGGACCACTGACGGCTCTAGAGTAGTGCACCTGGAGAAAAGCCATCCTAGCTAGAAAGATGACAATTGTTATGCCAGTGCATACATCCATGACGTGATCACACCCTGAATACCCCGCACAGCTCTGGTCTTACCAGCTAGAAGCCCAGACACAGTACAATTACAAGAGTTCCAGAGAAAGACAAAGACAGCTACAGGAACATCTCTCTTACGAGAAGAGATTGCAGGAGCTGGGCCTGTTTAGCCTAGAGGAGACTGAGAGGGGATCTCATTAATGCATATAAATATCTCAAAGGCGGGTGCCAGGAGGATGGCACCAGACTCTTTCCAGTGGTGCCCTGTGACAGTACAAGGAGCAATGGCCATAAACTAAAATACAAGAAATTTCACTTCAACATGAGGAAGAAATTCTTTACATTGAGAGTGGCAGAGCTGCCCAGGCAGGCTGTGGAGTCTCCCTCACTGGAGACATTCAAAATGCTCTTGGACACGTTCCTGAGTAACATGCTCTAAGTGGCACTGTCTTGGCAGTGGGGTTGGACTAGATGATCTCCAGAGGTCCCTTCCAACCCTAATGATTCGGTGATTCTGTGAACAGATTCAGTGCTCACTGGCTAGGAGGGCTGGGATCCTTCCATCCAGGAAAATACTCAGATGGGAAGAGGGGCACAGAGCAATGGATAGAGGTCTGCAAGATCCCAGGTAGCATGCAGACAGTGGCTATGGATCAACGGTTACAGAACTAATGGCTATCACCTGCAGAACTCTGCCAAAGCATACTGCAGATGCAAGGAACTTTCAAGAATTCTAGAGGAGACTGGACAAGTGCTGTTGTCCAGTTACTGATGGGATCATACCATGATAAATAAATCCTCTGAACTAAGAACACAGCCTGTCAGAGGACTCAGAGTATTAAACAATCCCTTGTCATTCTTCAGATAACCACTTATTGCCAGTCACACCGTAAAACTAAACATTTGGTCTTGACACCATTCCATTCAAGCTTTTGAAACTTGAATAAAGACAATATTAGAAAAGTGCTCTTTCCCCTTAGTACACCCCCCTAAGAGAAGGGCCACTACTTCCCCTGCAAAATCAGAACAGCTAGAGATCAAGGGAATAGCAACTTTCAGGTGTTGCAATGCTCAGTCCCTTTGGTAAGGACATTCTCGGTCTTAAGTATTCCAGTTAACTTGTGGTTATCTAAACTAGGCAGCTGCAGTGACAAGTAGATGGCTCTGTTGCAGTTAAGCACTGTATCCTAGCACAAAGCTTACTACAGTGCATACTGGCAGAGGCAGGTCTAGGACATCAGCTGCACCCTGACAGTACAATAGTTGCATGATTTTTTATTTATTTATTTTAAAATGTGAAGCAGATTTCTATTACTAACCTGAGCTCTGTTTTCCTGTCTACTCCAACAATTCTTCTCACAATCTGTTGGCAAAATCCATAGCACATGAACAGAACGGAGTTCTCCGCGATGTTGGCTAGAAGTGCTGGTGTGGTTCCCTGGTAGAAGCCTCGAAACCCCACTTGCTTATAGGTTGTCACGAAACAGTCCACAAATCCTTTGTACATGTCCGGGAATGTCTGCATCTTCACCTTTGCAGTGTCAAAGGGCTGGCCAGTCACCACGCATGCTGTCCCACCTAAGCAAGCAGTGGAAGTTACGAGGGTGGCTGAAGGTTACCACAACTCAAACATCTACACACAAACACCATTATTAGCAAAATTACACAGAAAAAGATGAGTTAATTCTCCAAAGGAAAAGACAAGTGCACTGATTTTAACACAATGGCAGCGATTGTCAGTGGTGGGTTTAGTTACCCAAAGAAGAAAAATCAGGCATAAGAGCAGTAACAGCTTGATTCTCATTAAACATTTCTTTACTTTCCTCAAAGCAGGCAACTAAATGAATCTGATCACTTACATAAATGGTTCCGAATTAGAGGTATTGTTCTGCAATCAAGTCACTTGTGTTAACGAGTTAAAGCAGCATTTTCCTTTTCTCATTTCTGCAGTGAATCACAAAATCAAAAACCATCTGATTTCATGTTCTCTTGATAATAAAAAAAAAAAAATGGAAGATTTGTTATCAAGTGAGGCAAAGATTCCTCCAGGACAAGAGAATACTGCTGAGAGTGTCAAAAACTGATGAAACACTGTGAATTGATAACCAAAGGCTCAAGCCCTTTACTTCAAAACTCCAGATGATTTTTATGTACGTTTATTCCTACATTCTGGAATATAGTGTCCAGTATAAGCTGGAAAAGGGCAAAGTTTCTTATTGTGTAATCTTTTCCAAACTCAAGAGCAAGGTCAATACCCTGAAAACTCAAAATATTTCCATCAGTTTCATCAACCACCACTTTGTCAACAGTGCAAATCTGTTCTTCCACAGATCCAACTCAATTCAGTAATCTGCAGAAAGAGCTAACATTACACTTTTTCAGTAAAAAATACCAGTGTATGCTGACAGCAACCTGTTAGAAGCCAACACCTAGCAGAAAGCATAGAATAGGTGTACCTTATATAGACTTTATAGTTTTGCTTTTCTAGTAAAAGAACCATCCTAGACCAAAATAACCAAAAAAGGATAAAAGAACCATCCTAAACTAGAAGCTGATCTTTAATGAAAGCACAGTTGACATGCTTATACCTTAAAGAGGGCAAGTTAACGAGATGCCTTTTCATCTATGAAATTGAAATAATTATCTGCAAATGCAGATACTGTAAAGAAACTAAAATAGGAACAAATGTATGAATCCAATTAAAATTAGTTATTTTTCTTCTAAGTGGGGAGAGGAAGACTAAGCATTTGTTTAACCAGGAGTATTTTCAATTACTTTTACTCTTTGCAAACACATTTGTGTCACATAGTTGTTGCTCAAGATCTAACTGCCATTAAACCTCATTCTCAATCAGATGGATCATTAAAAGCTTGAGTGCAAATCATGCAAAGAAGCACAAACAGCTTCTTGCTCTGGAACAGATAACCAAGGAGAGTAGCAGCTGGCTCAGACCAGTAACATTCATGGAAGCCTCAGATGAAAAGCAGAGCTGGAAGGGCTTAGCCAATGTTATGTGCACAGAAGTCACCTAGATGTTAATCTACAGGACAAATACTAGGTTCCTATGTGAAGGCAGATGTAAAACATTCACATGTATAGAACAGCAACTGTTGGAAGAAGCCCAAGAAATCCAGGCATGGTCTTGGGAATGCAAAGCTTAAAAATTGGGAGTTGACTCTGAATAGCTGTTCCAAAAAGAGAAAGGACTCTCCTTATTGGAGGTGGCACAAGTAAACACCAGCCATGAACTTCTACCTCAAGGTAAAGACCAAGAGTCCCAGTTAATGTCTGAACTATTAAAGGGAAGAATAATTCTTCTAGCCAGGAATAAGGAATCTAAAAAAATCTAAACAACAAAACCAAATAAACCAGAAAAAAAATTAGTCAACCCTGCCTGAACATTTAGAAAAATGCAGCTCTCATAGTAAGATGGGAACAGTGGAGAAAGAGTCCTACTTAATCAAAGAAGTGATCAGAGGTTGCTCAGATCCTAGGCAAAGGACTTTGACCCACAGGCAGCTAAATGATTTATTTATTCTTGTTCAGAATGTACTTGCCCCTGTATGTCATTACTTATCAGCTAGTGGAGACTGCATTCAGAGAGAAAGGTAAAACCAGGTCACGCATTTGCTGGAGGAACTACCTGTTTAACTAGTTAAATACACTCTCTAAAGGGTGCAGACACACGCCTAACACAGAAATGAGCACTACCAATGAACATAAGCAATACAAAGCAAGTATGTGGAAATAATATGGGAAATAAATATTAGAGGAACAGTAAAGCTGCATCTTTACTGCAGAGTAAAGTAGCAAAGAAAAAGAACAAGAACAATGATTTAGGATTACTGAAGTCATGCTGAAAAAGGTCTGAATTCCTCCATCCTGTCTGAAGAAAGAACTATACCAGAGAAGAAATCAGCATAATTAGTTCGAAGATTCTCTACTGCCAAAACCCAGGCAAACCTCAAGCGCATGCCCTGTTAGCCTGAATGTGGGCACAGAACAGTATCATTAGACAAATCTTCCCTTCCTCCTTTCCTGATAAAACACTGCCAGCTTGAGTGAGAGACCCCTTTTCTCTGGTAGAGGTAAATAATTAATCTGTCAGCCACAGACATTACCAACATGGTCATGTTAATGAGACAATGAAACTGCTTCCACATTTGTGACTGTCACAAGTGGTCCAACAAAACTTTATATCACAGACCAGACTGAAGGGGAAGTTCGTTAAGTGAGTTCATCATCATCAGTCCTATTACTGAGCTTCCCAGCTTTTAAAGATTCACACCGGGATGTTGTCTGAGCCAGTAACTCTTCAGATAGCCTCTTCTTGCCCAGTTTGGTTACAGAGTGTTCCTGTGACAAAAGCAGCACCTCAATCACTCACACAGTTGAGTTCATTCCAAAATTCTACTTGTGACTGATTTTTAAACTCCTGTAAGTGTAAGAACCAACACTGAAACTTAAACCTTCCTCTGGAAAACTCTAGTCTGAAATAAGGGTTACACCTCCACTGTGTGGCAGGGGTTTCACTAGGGAGCAGCAATAGTGATGCAGTTACAACACTGGCTGAGTTCAACTGCTTCATCTCAATGTCCTTAAAACACGGAAAGTGAGGCTTTTTATAGCATCAGGAAACTGCTTTTACAGTTGTCAGAGGCACTGAAACTGTCCCTAAGAAATTCTGTGCAATTAAGTTCTCTCCAGCATTACCTGCAGCTCCTGCTGTGAGGTCAATAGCAGCCTGAATAGCAGAGTTGATCTTCATGCTTCAAACTTGTTTATCAGTTACTTCAGAGTGAAGTCTCCCCTTTCCTGGCAGATGTGGAGGTACTTGTCTCCTGAGGGAAAAGAAAGATGTAGCATACATGATTTGTCACAATAACTGACAGGTAGAAGCATCACATGAATGCTTTCACTTCCACTCTTCAATTTACCTTCTTCAATGCCATTTAGAGGCAGAAAATGCTTGTCCCCAAGACTGCGACTTGGCATATTTGTAATTTGACTGACTAGTCTTGCCACATTATACAAGTCCTCTGGAGTATCACTGCCCAGCTTCAAATTACTTGGGCTTTCCAGCTTCTAGTCTCCCTGGATCTCTCAAATGAAAGCAGAGTACCTCCAGGAAAGAGTGTTGAGCATTACCTTTCCATCTCTACAACTGCCTGAAAGGAGAATGGAGAGAGGACGTGGCTGATCTCCTTTTCCAAGTAAAAGAGTGACAGGACAAGAGGCAACGGCCTCAAGCTGCACCACGGGATACTTAAGACTGGATATTAGGTAAAATTTCTTCACCGAGAGGGTGGTCAGGCATTGGAACAGGCTGCCCAGGTGGAATCACCGTCCCTGGAAGTGTTCAAAACCGTGAAGATGAGGGCCTCAGTGATACGGTTTCGTGGTGGACTTCGCAGTGCTGGGGTAAAGGTTGGACCTGATGATCTTGAAGGTCTTTTCCAACCTAGTTGGGTCTGTGCTTTCTCATAGAAACATAGTCTCCATCAGGTGTATAAGGCTAGCTGGCAAGAATATTACCCCACCCCATCTCAGCTCCCCACCTATAGAGCAAAACAGAATTGCTCTCATCATCGTGAACAGCAGCCAAGAAAACTATAAATTAAGACACATCAGGTATTTCTATGTGGCTCTCAGAAAATATGAGTAGAAAGCGAATGAATATGAACACCTAGAATTGTTTCTGGCTGTCACGTTCCCAGTGCAAGTCTCTCACACAATAGCACATTATAAATAAGAATTACACCTCAACTTTCAGGAAGGCAGCTGGAAAGCAGAAATACAAAGGCAACACTTTCAAATAAATCATTCAAATTAATTCAGTTCTCAAGTTTGCAGCAAGGTGCTTTCACTGGGTGAGCAGCTAAAACAAGCTTGCTTATCTGGAGTAAGATCACTGAGTCAATGATCTCTCACTGTTCCAGAACCCTGTTTCTGAGCAAGACACTTGGCAAGTGGTGCTGTCAAAAATGTTGCATGAGTCTTAACAAACACACAAATACACACATGAATCAGCCCCCCACTGACTTTTAAGCCTGGCTTCAAGCACAGTACATCAATTCACGGGATTTTTTTCATTCTTCTACCTACTGTAATGCTGCTTCTGAAGCCTGTTGCCTGCCAAAAGGTATTCTGGGGTAATATGAACAGGAAATACAAATTCCCATAGGCTAAATTAAAAGATTAAGAAAAACTAAAAATCAGACTGTATGAACCTCATCCTTTGTAGAACTTTTACATGACAAGCACAGATGTTTGCAGTAACTTCACATGTCCAGTACATGTTGCATTAACCTTAACATAATGCATTAAAAAAAATCAATCACTATTCTTGTAATAAATTATACTAATGCACATACTATTCCCAAATTATCATTATAGATGTGAGCTGTTTCACTACTGACAGCAAAGTATGCTACATGTTATTTCAAGACCACATGTTATGCTCCAAGACCAAGTTACATTTCATTATCCTCATTAGTGCTCACGCACCACTCCAGTTTTGCTTCTCATTTAAAGGCAGAAAAGAACAGATTAGGTGGGGCAGCCTATGAATGAGGGGAACTCCTAGTAAGCAACAATTGCCTGCATTCAGTAAAATGTACACTGCCTGCATCATGCCGAGTGCTTACTGACTTGTGCCAGTCCCCAAAGGGAGCACATGCCAAGTGACCCACACTGAAAGCTTGGCAGCAAAAGGAAAACCAGAGATGCCTGTACAAACATGTGGGGCTTAAAAGCCAAGAAAGTTTAGTTTCCTGATCCATAATATCACATCTCTGCTTTCAGAAGGTTTACAACTTAGTCAAAACTAAACCAGTATTATATATGTACATACCTATCCTTTTTTTTTTAACTATTTCTAGCCACACTAGCAGATAAAAAACTGCTTGTAGATACAGCAAGGCAAAAACTGCTCTACTTCCAAAGTGAGTCCAGACCTCAAACCTGGAAACACAGCATTAGTAAATGGAACAGGTACCACCGAGTCCTCCACCCGCAGCCCCAAAGGTTACTCTCGGCTGACACACGCCATCAAACACCAGGTGACAATCCCATAAGGTATCACAGCTCCTTGCAAGAGCCCACAAAGGCAGGCTACAACTCTACTCCCCAGGTCACAGCAGGCCATGCCCCAGCGGCACTGCAACAGCGCACTAACCACGCAGCGGGGCCGGTGCAGGGGACTCTTCACTGGCCAGACCACGGGCAAAGCTGCGGGGCAGGTTTCATCCGGAGCGGGAGGCCTGGCTGCACAGGCGGCGATCCCTGCTCCCAGAACACTGCGCTTTCACCGCAGGAAAGCCCCGGCCTGCGCTTGGAGGGGCGATGGCAGAGGCCCGCCGCGGAAGGAGGCGGCCGAGCCCCGCACCCCCGGCCTCATGTCTCTCCAGGGAGGCTGCCCGCAGCTTTCCGGGGCAGCTTCAATACCGCTGAGCCCTAAGGCCGCGGCGCAACCCAGGCTTGCCTGCAAGCCCACAGGCCGCGGGACTGCCCGGCTCTCACAGACCGCTCCGCTCCTTCCCGGTCCGCTCCTCCCCCCAACGGGAAGCACACAGCCGCAGCCTCCCGCTTCCCCCCCACTCACCATACAGCACACCGCCGGCCCGAGCCGCCCCGCAGCCGCCTCTATATAGGCGGCCGAGGGAGGCGGCGCGGCGCGGCTCCCCCGCGGGCCCGGGGAAAGCGCGGGCCGGGGAGGCGCTGGGCGGGTGTCTGCCTGCGCTGCCCCCGGCCCCGGGAGGCGGCTCCGGGCGGGCGGGGAGACGCCCAGGGGCCAGTGACCCGGGTTTGGGGTGCACAGGCCGCAGCACCGCGCCCCCGTCCCCAAGGCCTAGACAGGGCGGCTCTGAGGCTCCTACCGGGGCCCGGTGGTGGCTGTGCTCCTGGCTGTGAGGCCAACACTCGGGCGGCTGCTGCTGCTCGAATCCGGTAGCACTTCCCCCCCCTAGAAACCCTGTTGCTGCTGAGCACATCCCTGGCAGTGTTCAAGGCCAGGCTGGATGCGGAACTAGTTGATCTTTAAGGTCCTTTCTAACCCAAACCACTCTGTGATGCTGTGATTCCCTTTTCCCCAAAATACAAAATTCCCATTAAGTTTAACACATGTATTAGAGGACTAAGCTATACAAGTTTGCAACTATTTAAATATACAGCATTTGCAATCTCCTACAGTCTACAGTTATATACCTGACATCTTGGATACTGACAAAAGTAAAGGGATTTTTTTTTTCTGCCTCTTTAGTGGGATTGAAAAGTCAAATAATTGTGGAGATACAAATAAAAAAGGTGTTCCTGCTCTGCCATCTGCTAAAACCTTTAGCTATATAGGTGCATAAATGACAGTGGCCTGTAGCTCGTTAAATTGGACATATACATTTGTAAGCAATTTGCTGCTGATCTCCAAGTGACTTCCTAAACTGAGACACCAGTTTTGTGCTCCTAGGTTCTTGGCAATATGAAGTGGGCAGTAGTGGCTTAAACCACTGTGATGAGGGCTAATACCACTTTCCTCAGCTGAAACTACACAGAACTCTACCTCCTTCTCCCTTACCCCTTTTCTTTTGATTAGCAATTAAGTGAAGTGCTTGCTATAAGGCATGTAGAAGCAGTGCCCAGTTGAGAGCAGCAGGACAGTGTGCATCCCATGGAAAGCTAAATGAACTGTGTTTCTAATGTGCCTCAGTGATCAGTAATACTTGAGATACTCTGCTGGACCAGGCAGTGTTTCTGGGCAGTGCTGTATGCCTTCAAGCCCTGCTGAGCTGCATGTGTGTTTGCATGGATTGAGACCTCAGAGCTATGTATTTGTGTTTACATCCATGGTGTTTTCCATCAAATAAAACTGCAAGCTCCTACTTTCAAATCCCAAGCCAAGAAAAAAGTGTTATAAATACCAGAAAGCTAAATGTACATTTCCCCTCATCACTTTTAATTAATTGTAGGGTTCAGATATGTTTTTTCTACATGGCTACTTTCTTGAAATATTCTTTTAATGGTTTATGGCTATTATTCAAAATATGGCAATTGTTAAGGAAGAGCAAGCTAGGTTATAAATGGGTTTAGAAACAATACATCAAATTGTAAATGATTTTATGACTTCAATGTAGAAATGATTGCTGAGATGTGGTAATCAGTTAGTGGTTGGAGTTAGCTGTGCATCTCAAATGACCTGAAATACTTAGAGATCACTGTTTAGTGTCAAAGAATTGACCTGTGTACTGACTTCCTTCTTAGCCTGACTGTTGGAAGACACAGTTAGTGAAAAGCACTCTCATGCACTGAAGCTTGCAAATAATATGCTATTAAACTGCATGCTGCCTGCTCTTGCCGTTTGCTGCTGAAACATCAGGCCTGGAGTATTTGAGGATGTTTCTCCATAATGCCATTCCTCGGGCAGACCACCAGTCTTGGTCTTGTTTGGACCCTGTACAAAACACCGAGATGGTGAGAGTACTTGAAATGTTGCCCGAGATATTTTATGACTGTGAAGTGCAGCGCTACAATGAGCACATTGCCACCACATGGCTGTTTCTGCGCCCTGCACCCTTAGTCTACTAAGCCAAACCATACTTTCTGCGTGGAGGTGCTAGTAGTGGCCAACATGTAGCTTAATTTCAAAATTCCCCTCAAAAGATTTAGGCAGGGCAGAAATGGGACATGCGTGCAGAGATCTTGGTTTGTAAGTGCTCAGCAGGAATATGGAAGTGCTTTCTGGTACTCGAGGGTTCTGGCTTAGGATGGGTCTGATTTACAGCACAGTAAGCCACAACGGAGATAGGGCTTTGGAGGAAAGATGCTTCTTTGCACTATGAGAATTCTTCTTCCATGTTCTGTTTTCTATACTTTGATTGAACAATAAATAATTTTCCTTAGATTGCTTAATATCATTGATAACTAGCAGTTGCATGGATGAAAGTGTGATGAAAGAGTGTATTTTTAGGAGTAAGAGTAATTTGTTAGTGAAGTTACCTAGATTAAAAGATCTTTGTCTGGGAAGTATGGGACATTTGTGTATCAAAGGTAAAAAAAGTCACTTTGAAATTGCTGTTGCATGCAATAGGAAAAAAACCACCACCACCAACCTCCCCCCCCCCCCCCCCAAAAAAAAAACAACCAACCAAAACCGAACAAAATAAATCAACAAAATCCCCCAACCTTGAAGGACAAAAAGCACACAGGCAAGTGAGTACTGCCACAAGTCAGACAGAGTTTGAGGAAGCTGGCCAACAGCAGCAGTTCCCAGTTCACTGGATTTTTGTTTGCAATTTGGTTTTAGACTGACTTGAACCAGACCCAATATTTTCTTTGCATTTCTGGTATATCTGAAGTTCCTCTGATCTTTTTCAGCTAGATCAGGGTTCTCATTAGTATTTGTGCTCACAGCAGGAAGCCATTTTCCTCAGCAACAGCTACTGGCCTCAAGGCAGATCCACTGTATGTTTCTGTCCCTGGGCTGGACACCCCACAACCATCATGGGCATATCCTGGAGCGGAGGCTGGAAAACCACCAGATTTCATCTCTTTGGTATTTATAAGCCCAGTTATTCTTTAGATGTGGACAGATTTTGTCCAGAACAAAAGAAGGTTGTCTTCTTTTCCCTTTCCCTTGCTGGCTTGTGCTTCCTACACATACCTCTGAGCTACGGGCTGACATCTGCCACACAGCTGGAAAGAAAGCACAAGGGGAAAAGCACGGCAGCTGTGCTGGATGCAGAGAAGGTCTTCTGACCTTCAGAGCCAGAAGGAGGTCAGGTCCCTTGGGCACCCAACCTCCTTCTGAAAATGGCAAGAAGTGAGGCAGTGAACAGGAGCTGGGTGCCAAAACACCACTATGGAACCAGCCATGCATCAAAAGCACTGTACAGGCTGAAACCTGGTGTTTTACATTTAATGTTTTCAGTACCACAAGCTACAGAGATAGGTGAGAGACATTTGAATTAGCTGGCTGTAAAGGAATCAACTTTTGAATTTCTCAAAGCAGCTTATGCTCTAACATAAAAAATCAACTGTCCTTTGGAGAGGTAAGTTTGGTCTTGAGATACGATGGCAGCACAGTTCTGGATGCTGCTGTTTCATTTGTCCTCATCTGTACTGCTGACAAATCTAAAAAAGAACTCTTTTGTGAACTTAAATCTACATACTTAAGTCTTACAAAACCGGCATGTGTGGGCCACTCCCCCGCTGGGGCAGGACTGGTGTCCCTAATGTGGATCCAATTTAATGGGTATTCAATGATGGAAATAACAGGAACCATCCGATGAGACACCTGAACTTAATAGACACGAATCTTTCTCTTTTGTTTCCTCAAAATAATCATTAAAGGTAGGTGCTTTGTAGCCCCAAAAGAAAGCCTTGCACGTATCTGCTCTTGCAGCTTCCCCGAAGCTCTTGGGTGCCTCCATTACATGCTTCCCAACGGAGACTTGCCCTAAGCGACTGCGGCTCCTAGCGCCGAGCGACCGGGATGGTTTTGGCAGAGGACCGGCAGCGCCGAGCCGGGCGGAACGCTGGTGCGCGGAACGCTCAGCTCAGCTCCCTTTCCCAGCCGGCGGCGCCGGGAGGACCACGCGTGGGGGCGGACCGCCGCGGTGGCCGCGCTGCGGGCACGATGTGGAGCCGTGTCCGTGGCTGGGGCGGTGCGGCCAGGGGTTCCTGCGGGCTCGCGGTGCGGCTCCTGGCCGGTCGGGAGGTGGTGGGGGTAGCGCGGCAGCAACGGAGCTCTTGCAGGTACCGTCGCCTCCCCACAACCCTTCCTCGGCGGCGTGGGGGTTTTTGCCGGGCCGGGGCCATGTCCATGTCCATGTCCGCGGCAGGGCCGCGCTCCGCCCCTTGCCGCTGCCTCTGGAGGGATGGATGTGCTCGGCTACCCGGGGAAAGCCGGTCCGGTTCGCCGCAGCTGGGGCCGGGGCCGCCGCGGCCTATGCCCCGAGGGCAGGTTGTCTCCGTTGGCCTCCGCGTTGAAGGCAGGCCTCGTGTTTTAGCGGCTTAGTGCCGTGACTTTGTGCCTGGACCGGGCGGGTGAGGTAAGGGGGGCCCGCACAGTGTTCTCGGCGCCGCCTTCAGCTGCGCTGTTCCCGGGTGCCGCGGGGGTTAAACCCGCTCGGGCAGGAAGCAGGGCAGGCCCAAGTACGGGTGTCCTGCTGGGGCAGTGTGCTACCGACATCGGTGGGCAGAAGTCATGGGAAGAAGGGAGTAGTTTGGATTGAGTTTCTACCCTGAAAGTAGCTTAGATGTTAGGAAACTCTTTACTGTTACGGTGGTTGGCAGAAGTTGTGGCTACCCCATCCCTGAAAGTGTTCAAGGGTGGGTTGGATGGAGCTTTGAGCAACCTGGTCTAGTGGAAGGTGTTCTTGCCCATGGCAGGGGGTTTGGAACTAAGTGATCTTTAAGGTCCCTTCCAACCCAAACCAGTCTGTGATTATTTGTGACCTGAGCATAATTTTACACAGTGTGTAGCAGCAGAGCGGTACTACCAGTTGGCAGAGGTACATCCCCAAAGCACTGGCCAAAAGTAGTATTTGGAAGTTTGATTTTATTTTTTAAAAAGATTTAAACTGCTTTTGTTATACTTTTTTTTAATTTCAAAGCTCCTCGATATTTTTGAACAAGCTGTGAATACTGTGATAACCTCATGTATGAAAAAGCTTGGTTTCTTTTGTAGTTGTGTTTGCTTTCTTAAGTGAGGCTTCTGAGCATAAGACACAGCCAATGGTAGGTGGAATACAGTAATAGAAGCTGCAGTGTACTACTGGCTTTAAATGTTTAAGGCTTACAGTCTTGCTATAACAAAGATCTCTGAATGTATAATTAGCTTTAAGGAGGATGAATCCTGAATTAATAAAAAACATGTGTTTGAAAAAGATCTGTGGAGAGTAGCTCACTGCGAAACAGCAGGACTCCTATCAACAGGAATGTGGTTCTGAAGCTGTTGGTTCTCAACATCAAAATTTAGGATTTAATGCTGACAATTTATGAAGTGCAGAGCGACTGAAGTAATAACATGGTGCCTGCTGAGAACAGCAGATTGTTATTTTTAACAGATTATAAGCATTTCTATTTTAGAATAAAATAATAATTATTATTTATTGTGTGAGGGGGAGAGGTATGTAAAAATTCCTTCAGATCTATTGAAGTCCTTTATTTTGAATCAAATAATTGTATTTTTTTTTTTAATTTAGTAACTTGATAGTGATCTTTAAACAACAAATGAAGTCGTTGCAAATTTAAAAAATTAAACATTTAATTTTAGAATGTTAAAGAAAACAGTTATTTGAATATTATGGTAGTTTTTTCCAGGGAATGCAGTTGTGTCTGTGTTGCAGCAGCATCCCAAGCAGCTCCCTGCTGTCCCTGGCTTCACATCCTCACCTGCACCATGTCAGTTTTAGCTTCTTTACAGTGATTTGGTAAACCAGGTAAAATAGCTGTTCCAGAGGGAAAAATAACTGAAACTGCTTTTTTGTTAGTTACTGGGTTATCTTGCAGCAGGATCGATTTCCCCATATGTCTGCACAAATGCCTGGCTCTTGTATTGCAGAGCATAGGGTAGAGGGATATGATCCATACTAATACCACAAGTATGAAATGATGTGACGCTAAATCTGTGTGACGCTAAATCTGTGTAAAGTCTTTTTCCAGGTGACTGACAGTGATCTCTTTGTTGTCTCATTTTAAGAGTTTCAGTCAGTGTTCTGTAGTGCTCATGAATCTAAATATCAGGTACCAGTAGATTCAAACTCTTAGTCTGCTACCTGATGCAGCAATACTTAAAAAGTTATAAATTCATAGATTAAACACAGTTTATTTGTGGAGGAAATAAAGTTTACTTGATTTTTTTGTGATGAAGAAACCATAAATGGTAAGAATTTTAAATAGTGCTCTAGCCCTTCTCAGAAGTTAAAAGATACATGTTTGACATGTACTTAACATACTCAGTTTGCACTCAGGCCTAAGCAGTTGTAACTGATGGGGGTTTTGTAGACTTAAAAAATTCAGCCTCAGGCCTTATTTGTAACCTCTGACTTTAATTTATTAAATTTTGTGTATCATCTAGCAAAATACAGAAACTCTTCAGCACAAGCAGCGTGTTTTCTACTGAGAAAGATAAATCTACCCCTTCCAAAGACAGCACTACTGAAGAGGCATCAAAGAGCAAGGAGGATGCAGCAGAAACACCAAAGAAGAAACTGTTAGACATTATTGGTAACATGAAGGTAGAAGTGAGCTACAGGAGAAAACTCCAACAGTTAAAAGCACAAGAGATGAAAAAGCAAGCCATAAATAAGCTGGAAAGCCCAGACACCGAAGGTGCTGTGCTTCAGAGAACTAGAGAAGGGATCCAGCGGTAAAGTATAACAGACTTCTCTCAGCCTGTTTTATCTTCTTCTTTTATTTTTTTCCCCATTTTTTTTTTTCATTATCTAAACCAAAATAAAGCATCAAATGCCATTTCCAAGCATGGCCAATAATCTTGTAAGGGAGCGTGATATACAGATGTAGATTGCATTAAATCATGGGAGAATCTGGACAAAAGATGATGTGCACTTCTACCAAAAGCAACCTTTTGCTTGTGTGAGGCTCTTGAAAGGTAGCAATAGCATCTGTGGTCTCCAGGCTTCACGTCCAAGGAGCTATGCAGTGGTGTAGGGCTGCTGTTTTCCCAGCTGTGAGCACAAGAGTTTGTTGGTGTCCTTTGGCAGTTGATGATTAGGACAATATAGGGCAAACCTGGATGACCCCCTGGCCACTCCCCTTTGGGATAATGTGCAAGTGTAACTTCTGAGTTTTTAAGACATGAAAGTACAGAAATGTCAATTTAAATATATTAAGGCTTTCAAATTTTTTTTTTGTCTTTCCTTATCTGTTGTGTCTCTTACAGAGGCAGGCCTTTAAATCCAGAACTGGTCGAGGCCGCTTCTGCAGTTGCATCTTCCCTACCACTCAATAAGAAGCAGACAGAATCAGAACTACTTGCACAACTAAAACGACATGAAGAAACCACAGATAAACAGAAAAAGGGGGGAATTGTTAACTTACGGTCTGTATATTGAATTTTATTCTTAATAATGTTTGACATTCTGATTTTGCACTATCATCTTGAAGGTGACTGGGTTCTGTCTTGGAAAGATGGTGCTAAAAGATACATTTGCAGAGGCTATCCTTGGAATTAATGATCATTGGTCTGGTTATACCAGACTTCCTAAATTTTGTCATCATTATTCTAAAATGGTTTTGCAGAAATGGAATTGTTTTCCTGCCCAGAATTATCCTTTCTTGGACAGGCTAGCAAAATAACATTTTTTTTTTTTTTTTTTATTCCAAGCTTCTGAAATTCTCATACAATGGATGGATTTGTAGATGTTTCAGACATTCTGTCTGGACTAGTGAATTTTCATGACAGCTCTGCAGAGCAGAACTAGAGCAGCTCTGTTTATAGCCCCACCCTTCCTTTCAAAACTTTCCAGTCAACCCAAGAAACTCATCTCTTGGCTTAACTCATTTCCAGTGTGGCTTTCAAACCGATTAGACGCATTTGTTTAGAAACAGAAACAGTTGGGCATACTGCTCTTCTGGATGATGGCTAAAGAGGGGATTTTCGTTTTATCTCTTTTTTTCCCAGCTGGGATTCAGATAACCACACAGAAAATAAATCATTAAATCCAGGTGAAATGCTGAACTAAAGAGAATACTGGATCTTTAGCAACATAGGAATGTGAAACCTTTATTTATGGTGATTTGCAGTCTGAACTGCAAGCTGCTTGTCTAGTTTTAATTTATTCTGTGAATTTGTCCAAAAGCAGGAGTTAAGTTTGACCATGTATTATTATTATTATTATTATTTATAGGTTGCTCTAGGGATGACTAAAAGATCTTTCTATATTTATCAAGGTACTGCACACGGAACAGCTAACAAGCTATTGATTGTGGCTGATGTTTGCCTTTTAAGTGAGTGAAAACAGAGTGTGACAGATGATTGCAGACAGCTTGTGTTAGACGATTGCAAAGAGACTGGAATATATGGTGCTCAGTGTATAACTTTGTTGAACAAAATGCATGTTCTTCAGAGTCTGTGAATGGAAAAGGAAGAAACTGTGCTTTTACCTTTTAGCCTGTGTTCATGATTCCCTAGTAAGTGCTAATGGTGGTAGTGGAGAGCAGAATGAAAGTGTCTCCAAACTTAGGAACTCTGTGCTATATGAGGAGGAAGTATGGGTTTAGGTAGTACATGCGAGCATTTCTAAAGGATGCATGCTGTGTGTGCACTGTTTTCATAATGTCCTTTAAGCCTGAATATAGAAGATCTCCTTGACAGAACCTTCTCTCTCCATCTGTTTTTGGAGCCAGAATTAGTAGTTTAAGAGGTAAGAGATCTGGCTGCTCTATGTAAAATTTACATGTTTGTACTTTTTTTGTTTGTGTGTGCAACATTGCAGAAAACTTAAGAGACCCTTCCTAATGTAGAAAGTATAAATAAGGGACTATTTTATACAAAGCATATGTTTGTTAAGTGTTAGTTACTAGTGAGGTTGTACTATCTCTGTCACTGAGGTTTTCAGAAGAACAGAGTACAAAAAAGTCTTAATAGCTGCGCTGGCTGTTGGTGGCCAACTTAAACATTACTAGAACCTACTTCATTACCTGATAAGTCGTTGGAAGACTGTACTGATACTGACTGAGCTGCTGTGTGCAGTGGCTAACCTCATATGCGTCTGCATCTGTTTGTTGAAGTATATTCTTCTCTAAAAGTGGTTCATCTGCCTACTGGCATCAAGGACTCACTGTCCTTGCCACCCTGAAGCATTTACCCAGCCGTTGTTGCTGTGAAAGAAGGAAGGTCCCTAAGGAAGTTATAATCTAAGCAAAAAGACTTTTTTCTCTTGAAAGAGTGTTTAAATTCTACAGAAATTTAAAAACTGAAGTCCCTGCAGCTGTATAGTGTCTCTATATAGTTGATTGGTGGTTTAAGATGTGCTGTTACAACATTTTATAACATGCTTGTGGATGAGTCACTATGGTTAGAAAAATGGTTAGAAAAATGCATTTTACTCAACCAAAACCAGCCTTTTTGTTTGGCTAGGAATGCCATGGGTGGCTTGCTGTGCTTTTAGTTGGCAAGTTCTACTCCGTGAGACAGCTTTGTGCGTGAGCTTTTTTACCCCTGGGAACGCAGATTCTTTTTTCTTTTCTCTCCTGTTTTTCCCCCACTGTATGATCAGAAGTTTCATTTTCTTCCTTAATAGTTAGGTAACAGTTTGAAATTCTTACCAGTAAATGAGTTTTCAAGAAACACCAGTGACTCCTGGTGACTGTCATGATTGAAAACTTGGTTAATAGTAACCTTTCTGAGATAAATGTGGTACTTTCAGCTTCCTGCTTAGTGTTTAAAAATGTTGGTTTTAAAAAGCACAGCAGCTCTCAGACTTTATGGGCATGACTTTATGCTCCAGAATACCTGTCTCACAAGGCACTAAAATGCTTTTAATGCATTAGAAAGCAATTTTATTCATATACGATTGTTTTGTGTTGAATTTTATTTGGCAAGAGAACACGGGTAATTTAACTTCATTTTTTTCCAGTAAAAGTTTTGCATTCAATATACTGACACACTTCAAAACCCAGTATGTATTCCTCCATTACTTAAAACTATTTATAAGTGAGACACCTTCGCAAGCAGTAGAGCTGTATAATGCTTAGCTGTGAAAGATTGTGATACTGCTATTTTGATTTATGATTCATGATAAATCATATATTGTTCAGATCTTTTAGTTTGTACTATTTTTTTCTTCACGGGATTGTGGCATGACCTCCAGAGGTCACTGTTGTATGCAGTTGTCTCATGCCTTGTTTTGAAGACAGCATGAGGACAGCGTGTTCGCTAGGAGGGGAAAATATTAACAATACAGGAATTTATTTTCCTAAGTGTGGGATGAAGTTTCACTCAGTGGAAATTACAACACCACTATACCAAAATAAAATCTGCAGCACTACAAGTTGAAATTTCAGCTCCTGTTTTGGGTGAAGAAAAAAAGTAATTCAGAGCTTAGGCTAAAGTATGTCCAAAGCTTATTGCGTCTCCATTTTTAGTATTGTAATTATTGGTTGGTAATCAGGAAGGAGAGAGAATGTGTGGTTGTTACAAAAGCTCTACCCCTTTGCATGTGTGGAGGGCAGAAGTATCTGTGAACTTAGAATTTTAATGTTACGGTGGAACATGAGGTAATATCATGTAATATCTAACAACTGAAGGTACACTGGGGTTGGAGTATGACTTTGTAATCTGATGTTTTCATTACAAAAGGCATTAAAAACGCCTTCATAGTTTTAGTTAATACGGGGCAGTTGAAATGATGGAGTAATGATTGTTGCTGCCAGACATGTTCATATACTCATAATGGGGTGACATTAGAGCTTTCCAGGGAGAAATATGATACCATTGACTGCATGTTCTGATAGCTTGGTAGCATAGCCTGACCAGAGCTACTCTGCAAAACCGCAAATAAATCAAGATCAGCTGTGAGGAGAGCTATGAGCAAGCCTGATCCCCCTGAAGCATGGGAACGCTCCAGCCTTTCAAGTCACAGCTGAGTCAAGCAGTTGGGCTGGGCTGCATGTGGCTGACCTTAGTAATTATCTCCCCTTGACCCTCAGAAGTGTGTCAAGCCTCTGGCCTGACACCAGCTCACTAATGCCAGTAGGCACTTAATAGAGTAATTTCTAGTGTGAGGTACTCAACAGATCTGTAATTGTTTTGTCTTCAAGATTAAAATGAAAATATTTTAAACTTGTTTTCAGATGCCTTTCTTTCAGAGTAGGTGCTTGAAGAGCTATGCTGTTCTTGTTCTGCCATTGGAAACCACATCTAAGAGCAAGGAGAAATCCTACTGTGTTGCTGTGGCAATTAGCTTTTACAGTTTTCCAGAAGTATTTCTTGTCAGTGAAATCTCTTTTGACTTAAACTGCCAAAACATAGTTTGGATTTCATTCAGATTTTCATAAAATGGATATTCAGTATTTTTGATTTGGCTTGTTTTTCCTTTTTTTGAGACCATATTTCTGTCCTCTATCTTGAGCACTGCAATTTTGCATGACCACATGTTTCTGGAAGCAGTTGGCAGAGAGGGTAAGCTGTGAGGAAGAATTACCAGCTTGGTCTTTACTAACCAACAGACGTACCGGTTAAGGTGATTAGGTGGTGGAGGCAGAAAGGTGGTGTGTTTTGCCCTTTGTTTTCAGAATGAGCTGCATAGAACACTGGCTGAGATCAGAGCATTTGCTCTTCATGTATGATTTTGAGTACAGAATTACAAAGGAAGATGTGGTCTGTTAATGCTGTAATATGATTACGCAATGCAACAGATTGCAGTGGATCAGGAAAGGTGACCTACTAAGTAGAGTGGCATGATTGACCCATGTCAGTTGATGTGTGAAGGCAAGCTTCCTTTTGGTCTGCAGCAGCACAGCTCTGTCCCTGGGCAGTGTTGGTTTGTGTAAAAAAAAAAAACTGGTGGATTTTTACCTCCCTATTTCAGCATATTCCTTGTATCCTCAATTACTTAAGCAAAACATATATCGTACACTCTGGAAATACTGGCAGATATATGAATTTTTTCTGTTAGTTGGAAACAAAATGATTTCAAAGAAAGCTTTCACTGTAGATCTAGTAGGCTAAAATAGTACTTTTCATTTAATGTGTATAGAATGTAACAACTGAGGTTGTTTAAAAAGTAAGACTTGAATGTTTAGTGACGTAAAAATGGGCGTATTTTGTGAGGAATGTAAAATTCTGTCTTATAGAGGCTTATGAAGCCAATTAATAGAGTTTCTGATAATACATGTGACAAACTTCCTTGCTTTGTTGATATGTTGAGTTTTTACATTCATGTTTTTAATTTCAGCGACGTTATTTCAGGAATGGCAGTTAAAAGGCAGTCCCCAGCTCAGAGAGGTGTGAGGATATCTAGTCGCATTTCCTTGGACTTTGATGAAGATGGTCAAAGAATGAAGCCGGGAAGATTTTCACCTCAGTCTTCTGACTCTGGAAGGTATTTTTGTGAGACATCTATTTCAGTGTATAATAGGTAGTGAATTGTGACTTCCTGTAAAGAACAAATTGGAATGTATGCATTGAGCCATGTAGATCATGCAAAAACCTCGAAGAAATGTCTTACAGCCACTCATTAGAAGAATTTAACCTGCTTGCTGAAATGTGTCTGGGTAACTTCCATGTTCTGGAACTACCAAACTGATAAGTTCTGTTAGGGAAGCATCCCTTGGGCCTCTTCAGTGCTATAAGGCCAGCAAGCAGTGTTTTCTTGTCTGATGCAAAGCTTGTAGAAAGTGCAAGAGGGGCTTCTTGTAATGGAAATTGAAGGGAAGAAGTGGAACAAGATTCTTGTCCAAGCCCTCTTTTAGATACTTTGGTCCTGAAGTTTTCGTTCAGTTATAAGCTATTGATTTCAGGAGCAAGGGAACTGATTTCATTATCAGCTGCTGAATATCTCTATAGATGTTTTTAATCTGGGATAATAGAGCTGATAAGTCACATGACAGTAATTTTGTTACTACACTATGATTCTTGACTGATTATGAGAAATACAAAGTGTTGGATTGAAAGTTTTTGAAAGTTTGAAAAGATAGAAATAAAATGGTCTAAAAGTATAAACATGAAAACCTGAGCTGTTAAATGCTTGTACAGTGTGTATTATTTTATATCTTTGCCACACTTTTTGACATACTGCAAAGTAAAGTCAATTTCGCTTATGTTTGAGAACATTTATTAAATTTATGATATCTGAGAAGTTGTCTTGTTCTCTTTGTGTGATGAAACTGTACTGGGTATATAACTTCAAGAACAGTACCTTAAAATAGTTTTATAATGAGCAAATTGTTTCCAGTCATGAGTTTCCTTCTGCATCCCTGAAAATCTAGTGGGTATACTTACCTGTTGATAATACGAAAAGAATGGGTTAGGAAGAATATCTAAGTTTAAATGGAGTCAGTAGATTTCAATGAAATGAGTGATGTTGCTTTATAATCATGGAATCATAGAATAGTTAGGGTTGGAAAGGACCTTAAGGTCCTCTAGTTCCAACCCCCCTGCCATGGGCAGGAACACCTCCCACTGAACCATGTCACCCAGGGCTCTGTCCAGCCTGGCCTTGAACCCTGCCAGGGGTGGAGCATTCACAACTCCCTTGGGCAACCCATTCCAGTGCCTCACCACCCTTACAGGAAAAAACTTCTTCCTTATATCCAATCTGAACTTCCCCTGTTACCCCTTGTCCTGTCACTACAGTCCCTAATGAAGAGTGCCTCGCCAGCATCCTTGTAGCCCCCCTTCAGATACTGGATAATATATAATTTGAATTAGTCACTTTTAAATAAATATTCTTCCAAGTCCTGCTTGTATCTTTGGCCAGTGATTTTGGGAGTTACACACAGATAGGAAAATATAATCCTAAATCAGCATTCTTTTATGTCCCTGTAATTAGATTGTTCTGTGCTGAAATAGATGTGGGGTAGTTACATCAGGATATAACAAACACAGGTTTGCAGAAATCTACGGTAAATCCAGAGATGTGAAATTTTAAGGTCAGGAAGGGCAAGTATTGCCAGAGTAACTGTGAATATGTAATAGGATGAAGTAGGAACTATTCAGTAGAAACCTGGAAGATTCTGTGATTAGAAGAATCATTTGTTCTAAAGTTCGGAGTGTTCTATAGTAAAGGCATTGGTTTTTCTTTGTTACTATGTATATAAAAAAAAAACCCTGATTACTTGTTGAACTCTTGGGTTTGTAAAAACATTTCTAGCATAGGCTTATGCTAAAAATAAATTTGATTAAAAATAGGTCATCAGAGTTTAGTATTTTTATATTCAGAAGAGAGAGCATCAGTGTGTTGCTGTTTAAAGTGTACCATACAGATATACTTTGAGAGTTTGCCATGTGGCAGAGAAGGTGGCTGTGTAATCTTCCAAAAAGGCTATTTATGCCATAATGTGGGAACTGTTTGATTTAGCTGTTGCCTGTTCTCTTCCTGAATTGTGCAATATTTTTTACAGGGAAAAAACCCAAATCACCAGATTCACTTTTTAGTTGCAACTTTGTAAAATTGCTTGAGTTCTGTGTTTGATACTGTTTAGATTTGTTCAGATTCCTCAGTACTTCAGTAAAAAAATGACTGCAGATACAGTGTTTTGATTTCTGCTCATTCTTTTACATAGAAATGTTTTGGGAAGCTCTGTTACAGATGAATAACAAAGTCATAAACACTTTCTCTGGTTAAAAGCCTGAGGATTTAGTGAAAGTCACTATCTCTTTTTTTTTTTTTTTTTTTTATTCTCTCCAGAGATCTGCTAGTTCATGAGAATATTTTGTGCTTTTGAATTTGTTATCTGGCAGTGTTGTGAAGTGTTGTGAAATACTAAATATCGTTTTTCTTTTTTGTTTATAGAAGTCTCAAAGTAGGAAAGAGGCTTAATATATTCACTAAGGCTTCTACAGAAACACAAAGCACACTGAAAACAGGTTAGTGGAAATTCAGTAATGAAAAACCCAGTGAAGCCAAGTTCTGAATTTTTAAAATATCAAGAGATTCACTGTTACAAAAAAGACTTACGACCTGTGAACTTCCTGCTTTCAGACTATAAAAAAAATGAATAATGTAACACTGAGTTTTGCTAAACAAAACTTCCATGCAGTGTAATAGATAAATGTTTTCTGTACTAACCAGGATATTCTGTTACTGCATCTTCAACTAGATCAGGTTGTTCAGAGCCCCATCCACCCTTAAATATTTCCAGGGATCTGCCACCTCTCTGGGCAACATGTTCTGGTGTTTTGCCACCCTCATTGTAAAAAAAATACATCCTTATATCTAGTCTCAATCTACCCTCCTTTAGTTTAAAACCATTACCCCTTGACCTGTCAAAACAGGCCCTACTAAGAAATTTGTCCTCATCTATCTTACAGATCCTTTTTAAGTATTGAAAGGCCTTAATGTCTCTCTAGAGCCTTTTTTTCTCCAGGCTGAACAACCCCAGCTCTCAGTCTTTTCCTTGTAGGACAGGTCCTCCAGCCCTATGGCCATTTTTGTGGCCCTCGTCTGGGTCTGCTTCAACAGGTCCATGTCTTTCGTGTGCTGAGGACTACAGAGTTAAATGCAGCACTCCAGGTGGGGTCTCACCAGAGCAGAGGGGCAAAATCACCTCCCTCAACCTGCTGGCCACACTTCTTTTTGTTGAGCCAGTTGGCTTTCTGGGCTGTGAATGCATATTGCCAGTTCACGTCCAGTTTTTCACCACCAGGACCCCCAGGTCCTTCTCTGCAGGGCTGCTAGCAATCCCTTTATCCCCCAGTCTGTATTGATACCAGGGGTTGCCCTGACCCAGGTGTGAGGGACCTTTCACTTGGCCTTGTTGAACCTCATGAGGTTCACATGGGCCCACTTCTTGAGCTTGTCCAGGTCCCTCTGGATGGCATCCCTTCCCTCAGCCATGTCAAATGCACCACTCAGCTTGGTGTCATCTGCAAAGTTACTGATGATGCACTCAATCCCACTGTCTGTGTCATTGGTGAAGATATTAAACAGTACTGGTTCCAGTACAGGGCCCCGAGGGACACCATTTGTTGCTGATCTCCATCCAGACAATATGCCATGGACCACTACTGATTCCTTGTGCACCAAATACATATGCCGAAACTCATGTAAGATTAAAAAACTAACAGCAAAACAGGTATGCCCCACCTTCATCTTCACTGAATACCGCAGCTCTGAAGGAGCATCCATAATGCCAAGTGAGGGGGATAGCTTTCACACATGTAGATTTAGCTTTACTATAGTTGGGGTTTTGGCTAAGAGGGTGTGGATATATCAAGTCATCTAAAGAATTCCTGCTCTCACTTTTCTTTCTGAACAATGAAAATGTGCATTATTAGCACTCGTCAATACACTTGTTTCCCTAAGCTATTCCAAGGCCATTTAGGGGAAAAAAACCTCCACCCAAACCTGTATTCCAGTCTAGTGACTTAGAACTATATATAAAGCCGGCAGCTGCAGAAGAAGTAGTACTCCTCTCTGATATCTTAGAAAATGATACATATTTATTTCCGTTTCAAGAGTAGGACTGTTGGCTTTTGCCAGATTCTAGCTGAGTAGTTTCCTCCTTTTTTCACACTTGAAACTGCGGGGAGAAGTTAATTCGGTTTCTTAATTACTTTACTAAAATGTCATATAGTGCTATTTGCATATTTTCAGGCAGCTGTGAGCTTTCTGAATGCAGCCACTTCTGTGGTGGACTATGAAAGCTGCATATTAGAATGGAATTCAGTTTGCTGTTTTTTAAGACTGTCCATTTCCTTAAAATTGTTTCATTTTACATAATAAGTGATGCAGTGTTTGTTTTTACCTATCTTGATAAATATGTTGTTCAAGTAACTGGCGTTTTAATTGAATCAAATCTGCTTGGAGAATTGAACCTTTCTTTTTTGCATAGCACAATGCAGACTCACTGGCACATGGTAGTCACCCTAGATAAAAAGTTGAGATATGCTTTTTTTTTAACACAAAACTGGAATGTGCACACATTGTGTAAGAGAGCCTAATGACAACATTTTTTTTTGGCATTAATCTCAAGAAATACCAGTGTGATACTTGATACCTTTATACATTTGTTTCTGTTTTGGCTCATAGTAGTGGGAATAATGAGTTAAGGTATTGTTTATACATAACAGAAAAGCAAGTTCTGTGTTACATGTTGAATATTTATTTTGAAAACCTGAATGTTCACTGGAAAGTCAATTGTCATCCTGACAAAAAATGATAACTGTTAACGTATCAGTAACTGTTAACGTAAAATGTCAGTATTTTTGGTTTCACAGAGGTGAAAATACAGTGTTTATCACCTTTACTGCAAGCTTGAAAAAATATTTTCTGCTTTCTTCTAATAAAAGATTTATTAGTACAGCATTATTAGAAGGTATTCTTTTAAGATGTGGGCAATAATTTCATTCTGATATGGTTTCTCATGTTGTCTCTTATCTGTATTTTATTCTTGCCTCCAGCCCTCAAATCAAAGTAGGCAGCTAGGGAATATATGTCTGGCAATTTTCCTGCTAAGAAAGAAATAATTTGCAGAAGTATTCTGATTTAGAAACGAGACCACTTTTCAGTATGTAAAAATATTGTTTGCCCGTTCATTTTGTTTTTTTTTCATAAAGGGGGGGGGGTGGGTGTTAACTCATTTGAGTTGTAAGCCACTAAGCCAAAGATGAAATTGTATCTTAGTTTCAAATACTTGCACTTACGAGTAGTAAAATAATAGCTCATTGGCATTGATCCACGTCAAATGGACTGTAATATTTGAATTCACATCAAGAACTCTGTTCTAAGGAGCTTAGTGTGAATTGATAACAGGGGGAGACAAGAAAACAAAGGGGAGCACGACTTAGGCCAGCTGATGAGACAGCAGCCCAAGGCACTGCCAGTGGTTCCTCCCTGTCCTCTGGTGACAGCTTGTTCCCTTCGCTTCAGTGATGCGGTTCAGTCTGGGCTCATGACCAGTTCTCCTGGGCGGAGGGACAGGAACTCCTGAAGAGTAACTCTGCTGCCATATGACTATACTTTGATTAAAAAAAAAATTATCAGGAGAGATGTATCCCTAAAGGGATTGTCTGACTCTGGGAGAAGAGGATAGGAATTCAGGATTTCTCAAGCCCAAGAGACAAAAACTGGGACACTCACAAGTGTTGGGGAAAGAATTGTCATCAGTAGATTGAGTTGTCTCCCTGAAGGAGAGTATAGTAATGAAATACCTGAAAACTCCTGTAGTAAGCAAGATTCCTTTAGCAGAGTGCAGCAGTCAAGTTCAGAGTTTGTCATATATAGAAGTTGTGAAACACAAAAAGGAAGATTATGGAAAACCTAAATTCCTGTTCTGTGTGAAAGGTCTAAAAAGAAGTTGTCACCTAGGAGTTCAGAGTACATTTTCATCAGGTAACTGAGACTTTAATATACTTTCGTATCAACAGAGAATTCTTATTTGAAAAAGGTGATTCTGGCATCTAAGGTAGAAAAATGTTCACAGCCGAAAGAACTAATCTCTGTGAAGGTTAATGTTAAAGGACTTAGTTTTAGCTAGTGAGAAGTCTTTAGCTTGTTGACAGATCTTTATAAAATTTCTTTTTTAGTATCTTCACCAACTATCTGGGATCTGGAGTTTGCGAAGGAGGTTGCAGCAGTAACTGCACAGCCTCCCCGGAACGGTTTTGAGGAGATGATTCAGTGGACGAAAGACGGACTACTGTGGGAGTACCCAGTTGACAATGAAGCTGGTATGTACACTGTTAACTTCTATTGTCCGTCTATAGTTATCTTTTTTTTTTTTTTGAAGAATTAGAGCATGTTATGACCTCTGACTGTTCAAACATAGCATTTCAGCTATGAGTCATGCATTTGAGAGTAAACAAATACAACTTTCCAACTGTCCTAAATCAGAGCTGCTTCAGATGAACTCATTCTGGCGCTCTGCAGGTGATGTCCTCCAGGTGGTTTGGCTGATCTGTGCACTGGCTGCTGCCAAAAAGGGGAGAAGTTCCCTCCCTCCATCAGTCCTGGTGCTTTCAAAACCAAAAGGCCATTCGAGTCTATTACATAATACCTTTTACTATGCAACTTCTTTGAAAAACCTGAATGGAGACTCTTAAAACTGCTGTCTGTATTTTATAATGCTGATTCTGTTCTTTGGTGTGGCTCTCAGACCAAGTGGCTAGCCGGATCCTAATCAGCTATCTGCCAGTTCCATGTCTGCGTTGGCTGAGTGTTAAACAGTTGCTTGCTCCCTTTGTTCTGTCTGTTTCATAAGTAGCCACAGTATTAATTCACTCTGGGCATCTATCTTAACCAGACATCTTTGTGCACAGTATTTATTTTTAGTACCAGTAAAAAAAAAAAAAAAGAAAACTCTGTGTGAAGTTAAGCCAGCAGAGAGAGAATGAATGCTAAGGGAGGGAAGAACAACTACACAGAGCAAGTGCACACTTAGGAAAAGGGACTTCATAACTTCAGGGAGGGCTTGGCTGTGTTGTTTTTTTGGCATTTTTTTAAAGACTTTAAAGACGTCACACAGAACTACTTTAGAATGATTCAGTCACTGAAAGCAAAACAGGTTAGTATCTGAAGCTGCGAGTCTTTGAAAATCTGTCCTGTACTGAGTTGCAAATTGCATAATGTGGTGCATTGTTTCTTAATGTTTCTTCTCATCCTATTTTGGCAGTTTCTTCATAGAATTTAATCACTGCTCCCAGAATTGATCAGTTCCATCATGTGGCAATCTGAGTATACTCTAGTCATGATTTGCAAGCTGAAAACCATTGTGGCTAATGGTTTTTCTGTTGTTGTAATGTGGCTGGAACCCTGCTGTCTGGGGCCGTAAGTTGACAAAGTATCTTTGGCGGCCAGTGGTTTTTCTCTTGCAGCAATGCGGCCGGAACCGTGCTGTCTGGGATGGGGTGCCGAATGGACAAAGAGTCTTTACATATATTTAAACAAGAGTCTTTATTGATCTGTCTACAAAGACTGGTCATGTGGAAAATTCCCGTGGAATGTTCTAAAATCTATCACCTCTCAGGCTGAAATACCAGGACAGTAAATTACAGCTTATCAGAATGCCAGCCATAGGCTGTTAATCAGATCAGGTGTGTCAAAAGCTTGAGAACCTCACTCCAATTATATCAATGTACTATAATTTTAGTGGCTCTGCAAAAGAAAGATGCCCCTTCCTGCTGTTAATTTCGCAGTTTGTACCAGTCATCTCCCTCAATAGGAAGACATGATCTCAGCTTGTTCTCTATCAACAAATGTGCGGATTTTCTTTTATGCCACAAACATATATAAGTCTTCTGTTGAAGAAGCATGTTGTCATGGTTTAAAACCAGTCAGGCAGCTCATTCACTCACTACCCCCCTTCTTGCCCTCCCCCTGCTCCCAGAGGGACAGAGAGGAGAACTGAATACAACTCCCATGGGTTGAGGTAAGAACAGTTTAGTAACTAAGGTATAACACAAATCACTACTGCTACCACCAATGATAATAATGATAAAGGAAATAACAAGGGAAGAGAATACAACACCTCAGCACCAGCCGACCAATAACTCGCCCCACCCCACCCGACCAAGCACCCACCAATACCTCATCCAACCCCACAGCCAACTAGCCCTTCCGGGTAACTCTCAGTTACATCCTGGGCATGACATGCTGTGGTATGGAATACCTCTTTGGTTAGTTTGGGTCAGGTGTCCTGTCTCTGCTTCCTCCCAGCTTCCCTCCTCCCTAGCAGAGCATGAGGCTCAGAAAGTCCTTGGCCAGACCAAACATTTGAGCAGTAACTAAAACCATCGGTGCTATCAGCACCATTCCCAGGCCTAAAGTCAAAAACACAGCACTGCACCAGCTACTAAGAAGGAGAAAAAATGACTGCTACTGCTGAACCCAGGACACATGTATACTCAGCTTCTAGCATTATGAAAGCCTTTAAAGTTCTAAATGAAAGAAGACTGCTTATAACTGTTTTACTTGGCTTCAGAGCATCTCTGGTCTTGTTGGAATGCTTTACTGAGGTACTGTGCTGTGCTTTGAGATATCAGGGCAAGGTCAAGATTTTTAGAACCTCTCTGGCCTTGGTGTGAGCATCTGAAGATGTGGCTAGACATACTGGCTTGCTGCAGTGGCCAGTGGCAGTCTTCCCCCACCACGCCACTGCCCTGTTGTTTGTTCCTGCCTGCATGACCTTTTCCTTACCTGATACAGTTAAATGCAGAAAACTGCCTTTTTTCGCTCCATCTCCCTGATCAATCTTTACCAAATCAGCAAACCATTGGTATAGCTTGCATAAAATTGTTCTCACTCCTCCTCCATTCTGCTTGCCTCTTCTGCTTCTATGACTTGCCATAGAATCGTAGAATGAATCATAGAATGATTAGGGCTGGCAAGTACTTTAAGATCATCTAGTTCCAGCTCCCCTGCCACGGGCAGGGACAACTCACACTAGACCGTGTTGCCCAAGACTCTGACCAACTTGGTCAGGGATGGAGCTTTTATCCTTATAGCATGTCAGCGACACTCCCTACAAGGATGGACACATGAATTTGAGATTCCGTCTTTAAGGCAAGGTTGATCATGTCTTGGAAGGGTTAGTGTTTTAGCTAGAGAAATTCCCCAGACTTTCTGTGTCGTAGTATGTGGGGGATTGGAAACAGGATATTGAGAATGGGTGACTTCTTGCTTTGAGGTTGACGAAGAAAACCTTTTACTTTAGACTCCTGCCATGCATGTTCTTTCAAATTAGGTTTCTGAGGATAGTGCAAGAGAAGTTGAGGAACAGATGGTTCTTCCCATGCAGTGGAAGTTATGGCTTGCTGGGGGTGGGGGGAATCGTGTGAGCATATCTCATCAGTTCCCACCAGAGGCTTCAGCCTCTGATGTTTTGAGCAGTTGTATATTTTTTTGTGATGCACACTTTACTTCTTTTTGTGGACTGAAATACGTGAAATATGTGGTCTAACTGAAATGTTTGGACTTAGCCCTTCATCCCCAAACCATATACCATGTGTTTGAATATATCGTGTGTTTGACAGATGGGAGATGAAAATATACAATGTAGTATTTCCTTCTGACCTACATATAAATGGTTTAATTTCTTTTGGGTTTGAGATAAAAATTGGTGAAATTATTAACGAGACATAATCTCTCCTGATACTCTGTATCCCGAAAAGAAGACCTTCTAGATGGCCAAATTTTACTGTCAGCATTATGTAGGTTGTTGCAGTAGTGAGTTCATTGGTTTACTTCTCTTGGATTTTTGTGACCAGCAAAAGTATGAAAATCTGGAAAATATGTTAGCTTGTGAAAGCAACCAGCAGCATCCAGGTATGGTGAGATTCCAGTGGGGAAAGTCAGTGTGGGTGGCATTATGAAAGGATCATTTCCCCATGTGTTCAGCACTGGTGAGGCTGCACCGTGAGTGCTGTCAAGATTCTGGACAAGTTCTGGACCCGTCATTACAAGACAGATATTGAGTTGCTGGAGGTCCAGAGAAGGGCAACAAAGCTGGTGAAGTAATGCAGACTTAATGAAGACAAGCTGAGAGACTTCTCCATCCCAGAGATGTGCATCATTTCTTCTGAAACTGTCGAAGCTCTAATGGAGGAGGAAACCTAGGACCTGCGTGGCTTAATTACCTCAGTTTTAATAGTCCTTATGTAATGTCGTCAAATAATATATCCTGGCTAGTTATAAAAAACATATACACGTATGTCTGCAGTGTAGATTTGCCAGTCTTGTAATCTGAAAATTGTATGTCTAATAACATACTTTTACTTTAAGCTGCAAATGTCATTTACAAATTTAGGGTCAAATAAAAATTTTCACATACCTCTAACTGAAGAAAAATCAATTGCAAATCCCAGTTTTCTTTGTTTTTTTTTTTGTCTCAGAATTGGGAACTGTGAAAGCAGCTGATTTACATAGGAATTTGTAGAACACAAATTGGGTCTTTGTCATGTCTTTGGCATCATAGTGTGAACAACAGCAAGGGAAATCCACAGGACAGAGAACAAAAATTTACAATAGTATCTGAGCTGTGTTTGTTTAGAGATCTACAATAATCTCTTGTTCCTGTGGATGCTTTTGAAGGCATCATCCTTTGCTCTGGTTGCAACTTAAAAGTAGCAGCTGGTGAGCTACATGACATTTTTACATCAGTGTACACTCACAGATTCAGAAAGTGTTAGGAAAACAACTTTCTGAGCCCCTTTTGATAACAATAGGATGTTAAAACCATGACTTGGAATGAATATGGTAGTGTGTTTGCTGTTCTGTATTAGATACTTCATGAGGTTGCCTCATTTGTTCAAGACTAGCTTGTATTCTTTAACCTTCTGCAGAATTTAGGCAATCAGTATTTCCATAAAGCACTTACGAAGAAGATGCCGCTGGTGTAAAAGGTGGTACCCATGATGACTCAGACTCTTCCCATATTGAACAAACTGGGTTTTAGCAAGAAAATTGATTTATTTTGTTAATTATTCCCCCTGCTTCTGCCCTGGCATCAGCTTTCAGCAAGGCTACTAGCCAGAGAGTTGAGGTAGATACTGTTATAAATGAGAGCACAAAATGGGAGTAATATGCTAGACAGGACTGTGATAATGCTGGCATGTTTTATGTGATTTCAGATTATTTGCTAACTGTAATTCTTTTTAACTTTGTTAAATTTGCTGTTATGATAACTTTGTCATTTTTTTGTCTCTTCTGTTAGGGATGGAAGATGATGCTGAATTTCATGAACATATCTTTCTGGAGAAACACCTCAAAGACTTTCCCAGTCAAGGACCTATTCGCCACTTCATGGAACTAGTCATCTGTGGGCTTTCAAAAAACCCATACCTCAGTGTTAAACAGAAGATTGAACATATTGAGTGGTTTCACAAGTATTTTGAAGAAAAGAAGGAATATCTTAAAGACATTTGAGACTTGGGAAAGTGTTTAACCTTGAACTAAAGAATCGTTACATCAAAATTGACAATTTCTTATAATGGAAATACAGAGTAATCATGTGACCTGAAAACTGTATTTTTAAAGAATAAACTGAAAGGTCGTACTTTCATGTGTGCATACCCACATATGTGTCGATATTTTTTGACTACAAATGAAGGAACTGGAAAGTATGGCTTTTGTAGAATGTGCATTTAAAGTTTAGTTTACCAAAATTGCTGTAATTTAAACACAAAACTCATCTTCTGACTGTACAAAATACTGGGTCTGACTCCACTTCCTACACCCTTCACACTTGGTGCGTATCTTAACAGGTTTGATCACTTTTCCCATTCTGGAAAACTTGCAATGCTTTCCTTTTTAACTCCTGATGTGGCTCTAATTTTGAAAAGCTGTTACTGAGATCGTAACAGTTTGTTTTGCTAATTCATGAAATACACTTATTTGGATGGCATTAATCCTTTCTATCCTCCTTTCACTAATTGTCTTTATTGGTTCATTTAAAAATTTTTGGTAATGAGTAAGTCATTTGAATTGAATATTTGTTAGGTTGTCTGCTTAATGAAAAGGCTATTACATCCAAAAGATGTGTACACAGCATAATACTGCTGAATTACATAAAACAATATGGGAAGTCTCTCCTACCATCCATACATCCATGACGAGCTTTCCATCAGTATTTGTTTAAAAATGGGTCTGGTTGTCAAATAATCCATAAAGTTCTGTTTCATTAGAACAAGCAGTTTCATGATTACTACAGTGTTTGGAGCTGAGGCTTTATCTCCTTCCTCTGCAGGGCTAGAAAGAGGACTTGATGGTGCTGGCAAGGAGAGTTGTCCCCTTCTGATTGGTGTCACATGATACCACTGCTGTTTTCTGTCTAATTCTCTGATGCTGGTGAAGTAACTTCATATTTTCTAGCTGATCCTTTATTCTAATTAAATGTGTGGCCCTTTGTGTCTATTAAGCAATTGCAGTATATTTTATCTTGGTCTGTAGCTAAATTTTCATCCAGAATTGCTCACTCAGTCATTGAGAATCCTGGATTACTTTCTTGCTTCTTACCTTTTCAGAGCATTTCCAGACTTGCATATTGTGTTCTTGTTCTCTTGCATTCACTCCAAACACTTTAGCAGCTCTTGGCCCTATAAATAAGCTCCTGTCTTTTTCTCGTATTTCCTTGCAACTCAAGCAGGAAGGAGGAAGTTACGGAATGAAGGTAAAACACTGGCTTCATAGGCAAACTGATTTTAAAAGCAGAATTGCAAGAAAGCAGATGAAAACCAAAGAGTTGGCCTCTTTTTGTGAGTTGAAATATTACTGCTGCGTTCTGCTCACCTGCAGGACGTGAGTTTGCTTGTCTGGCAAAGGGCAAGACTTGGGCAGTGAGAAGGAAAAGCAGCTTCTTGACTTCTTAGCTGTAAGAACGGCAAGGTTCAAGTCCTGCAGAAATTCTCAGAGACTTACTGGCTTTGGAAAGGAGAGTGAGAGTTACATCAAAATATCCCCATTTATTAATAGGATAATTTTTAATTTTTGGTTCAAGGCTCAGATGTGTCCGATTTCAAAAAATACTGTTCTTCCCGCATTGCTACCAAACTGTGCTGCACAGCTGGTGTTCTGTATTTCAAGACTTTTCTAAAACAAGGTACAGTGACTTTTCACCACAGGCTTTTAGAAATGGCTTCTCTGTGTATTTGCATTTAACATGTTCTGATATGAAAGATGGGATGCTCAGAAGCTCAGCCCTTAATGGAAGAGTTTCAGAAGTGTTAGCTGTGTATGGAAGTGCTGAATTTCACAGCACTGGGAGTGAAGTCAATGTTATTGTTTAAACAGATTCATTAGGAGGTCAGTACTTCGACAAGCTCTTAACAAGAGCTCTTAGTACTTAGGATCTTTGAAAAGCTGTAGTAATTCCTACTTAGATGCTTAAATATAGATTTGAGAGTTAATACTTGGCAACAGGATTTGAATAATCAAACCTAGCTGCACATATGTATGGATGCTTACTGGGACTGCTCAAGGCACATTAAGAGAGCTCAAGTGGCAGGGCTTTTATGTGTGGGGGGTTTTTGTGGTATATGCTTCTTGGTAGCAGGCTTGCAGGCATTTAAGGTGTTGCTTACAGATGAGTCACTTAGAAGCATAAAAATCACCCCTTTCCTGTTGCAGCCTAGAGGATAAAAGCTGTCTGCCACTGTTCAGAGTGCAGCCAGTGCTGCAACTAGTGATTCCCACACTGGAGTCATTCAGGCTTTTCTTATGATGGTTGGTTTTCCCTCTTGTAACTGGTTAGGTGGTATTACACATAACTTAACAGACTCAGCATTAGGATCTGTTCAAGGCAAAATAGCATTTGTTGTGTTCTGTGGTCTTACATTTTCTTCTCTGTGCATGAAGCTGAGGTCTTGTTAATGTGCTGCTAATGCTATACCTCTGTGACACCCACATTGGAAAGTTGTCTGGCTTGAGGGGGCAGAGCTGAATCAGTTGACACTGCCCTGAGAAGATCAAGAAGATGGAGCAAACTGACCTGGAGCCCTAATTGCAGTGAACCCTGTCTATGTGCAACTTTTAGGTGACATTTTTTTATCTGGGGTGACTACAATGGATCCGTAGCAGAACATCTTACTGATCAGAGATGGCTGACCTACTACTGCAAAGTTGCATGCAAAGGCACAGAGACACACTGTTGGCTATGGTGGTAGCTGCTGGTAGCAATGTGAATGATGGGCGTGGCTTCCCCAGCTGAGCTGCTACCCTGTGAATAAGTCCAAGCTCCTTTTCCTCACTTTTTCACCCATCTGGTGCTACGGCAGTGGTTCTTCGGCCATCTCAGAGGAGATGGAGGCACTAGTGCAGGTGGAAGGCCTGGCAGAGGGCAGCGACTCTGTGTTGGCAGAGCGAGGGAATAAAGGGGGGACTGAAAGGGGCCCATATAACTTGTAAAGGTGTAATGGAGGTGCTAGTTGATGAGAAGCTCAGCATGACCCAGCAGTGTGCGCTTGCAACCCAGAAAACCAGCTGTATCCTGGGCTGCATCAAAAGGAGCGTGACCAGCAGGTCAAGTGAGGTGATTTTGCCCCTCTACTCCTACAGAGGCTACACCTGCAGTACTGTGTCCAGCTCTGGGGACCCCAACACAAGAGGGAGATGGACCTGCCTGAGTGAGTCCAGAGGAGGGTCATGAAGATGATGAGATGGCTGGAGCACCCTTCCTATGGACACAGGTGGGGAGAGTTGGGCTTGTTCAGCCTGGAGGAGAGAAGGCTCCAGGGAGACCTTAGAGCAGCTTCCAGTACCTAAAAGGGCCTACAAGAAAGCTGGAGAGGGACTTTTTGCAAGGGCATGTAGTGACAGGACAAGGGGGAATGGCTTTAAGCTGACAGAGGGGAGATCTAGATTAGAAATTAGGAAGAAACTTTGAGAGTGGTGAGGCCCTGGCACAGGTTCCCCAGAGAAGCTGTGGCTGCCCCATCCCTGGCAGTGTTCAAGCTCAGGTTGGATGGGCCTATGAGCAACCTGGTCTAGTGGAAGATGTCCCTACTTGTGGCAGGGGTGTTAGAACTGTACAATCTTTAAGGTCCTTTCCAACTCAAACCAATCTATGACTCTATGAAGCAACTGTGAATGGTGTAAGGAAGAGCTGGAGGAATGACTGTATGGATTGGTTACAAGATTATCTGTGCTGGAATTGCAGCCTTACCAACCAGAAGAAGGATGGCCATGGCTTAATTTAAGCCTTCTGACCTGGCAGAGGAACTTAAAGGAATGGAATGCATAGGGAGGAAAATGCTGTGTGTGTTCCTACCTGCAGGTGGTTTTTGCTTAAACCATGTATTTTTAAATGAAGAGGAGCATTAAAGGAGTCCTGGAGTGCTACTCAGGTCCATTTTCTTTCAGCGCCTACAGAGATAACAAAATTCCAGCATGAAAATAACTCCTCATCGGAAGCTTGTGCTTGAGAACCCTGAAGCATCATAGCGTTTGTGTAAGAGGGGCGATCGGCTTATTTTCAGTGAGGATTTAAAAGCAAATAGTCTCATTTTAGTTGGGTTTGTGACCGTCGCTTAGCAAAACGATATTCATGGACAGAGAGTGATGACTTCTGAGATTGCTGGGCCTGGTTTTCACTGTGTTCATACCTGCAGGTGTATCGAAAGTTCATCTGCCACTGAGATGTTGTCCAGGGGGACACAAGGAAGGTGTAAATCCCACCCTGCTGAGTGGCTGCTGTACTCTGGTCTCATGATCTCCACAAGATGTCAGTGTAGATTTATGGGATTAGATATAAAATCCTTGTGCTGTTCCCCCCACCCCAGCAGACTAAAGCAAAAACTGTTTAGAGCTTGCACAACAGGTCTGATTGTGCTCTGTAATGTGTCGCCCATGGACGAGCAATGTGGTGAGTGCTGGCATCCAGGGAGGGGCGTGAGTGACACCCCAAAATGGGAGCAGAGCTGCTGACAAAAAAGGGCAACCCTTTGCTCATATCAAGGTGTCCTTAATCCCTTGGGGACAAGTTGCATATGTGTAATATGCGATAATCTCACTTGTGCAATAGTGCTCTATATCTTACTCAGAGGAAAACTGGAAGCCTGGAGTAGAACTAAAGGACCAGCATGGGTTGCAGGAAGGAGCTGAGGGTGATTGGGTCAATTAATTGGAGAAGCTTAACTGCTGGCAGATCCAAAGCTTGCTTTGTTTCTTTACAGACAAAATGTGGTCTTACAGTGTTGAGCAATGAGCTGTGACCCTGCAAAGAAAACAGGACACAGTGTCCAACACAGGGGAGTTCCTCTTCACCTTTTAGTTCTTTTGCATAGCAGTCCCTGCCCATCAGAGAAAATTCTTAATGCCTTTTGAGATGGATTCAGATGGATGTCAGCAACAGAGGTGTTTTTCCATGGAAGAAGATTCTCTGAAGTGCTGGTGGTGGAGGCACTGACCCAAGCCAGGTCTGGCCCTGTTTGGGAGAGAGTTTCCCCAGCCATATTGCTTCTCACTTTCTGAGAGTTTATTATATGGTGAGGCTTCTTTTAGGCCACGATAGTCTACTGTTATTCTCCACTCTTCATTAGACTTTAGCACTGGCCATATGGGGCTATTAAAGGGTGAGCGGGTGGGTCCTGATGATCACTTCTTGATTCCAGTCAACAGATCAGCTTATGGATGGGAATCAGGGAGTCTTGGTGTGATATTGCTGTTATCTTGTTGATCTGATGATGTCGGTCTTGCCATTTTATTCCCCAAAACAGGCTGGGCTTCTCCATGCCCCTGTGCTGTCCAGCCTCTCCTGGGACTATGCTGCCCTGGGATTTTCTGGGCTAGCTGAAGTTCCCCTGGGCTGCAGCTCCCAGCTGCTCTGGCCATAGTGGGGAAAAGAGGCAGCATGGCGAACAGCCATAGGGAGGTTTCCCAGCCAGCCTCCCTCTCTGCTCCCTTGCAGCCCCTGGCACTTATCCCCATTTTCCCAATGGAAGTCAAGGGCAATGCAGCCCCTGCCTCTCTTTGCAGCTGGGGCTGTGGTTACCTCCATGCACTGCGTGCTGGCCTGGTGTGGGTGGCCCTGCTCCCACCACTGTGCTGTGCAATGATTTATGTGCAGAAGCCGAGCAATGATACATCTGTGGTCCCCACCACTGTACCCTGTCACCCGCGGAGGGGGGGCATAAGGTGATGGTATTTGTCAGCAGTGGCAGAAATAGCCATGTTTCAGATTTCACTGGGGAAGTGGGAAGGGAGGGAAGGATATCAAGACCCATGTGATGCTCAGCCCTGTCCACAGGCCTGCCTTGCACAGAAAAACAGTGCCTCGTTTTTCTTATGGGCAAGCATTTGCCCACCTAAATCTGAGTGAGAGGATTTGCATTGTGCAGACCAGCTGGAGATGGAGATGCAAACTCCCTCTCCCCTTGCTGCATTATGTACCAGCTCACTCATGGGACAGCCAAGATGACTTTC